GAGAGCTGCACTAGGATATATAATAGGATGTGTGCCGTCAGCTGCAGTAGGACCTGTATCAAGGTTTAAAGTGAAAACTGCGCGAATGGCTGTTGTAAGAACTGTGGGCGGACGTGTGTGAGAAGCTGTTGTAAGAATTTGAACCGGAACTGTAGAGTGAGGAGTTGTGACGGGAACTGACAACTGGCTAAGAAGCAGTTGTAGTACAGCCTGTTAAATGAACTGTGGTATGGGACCAGTACCAAGAGCTGTGCTGCTGCCTGCAGTGGGAGCTACAACTTGGGCTGCACATGTGGCTACGACAGGGAATGACACTAGGACCTGTATGATGATATGCAGTATACGTTGCAGTAGGAGGTGTGGTGAGAGCTGTACGTTGTATTAAGAAGTCTTGGTTGTTTGACGTTGTTATTAAAATGGTTTTCCTGCAGCCTTTGCCGCCAGAACTTCAGTTGACATGGTTCTTGTTTATTGATCCTTGTGCGCATTTGGGTTTCCAGTGCCATCCTCCACCTCCCCCTCCTCCTAACTCCTCCTCCTCCTCCTGCTCCTCCTCTCCCTCCTCGTCCTCCTCTTCTCCTCCTCCTCCTCCTCCTCCTCCTCCTCGTCCTACTCCTCCTCCTCCTCCTCCCCCCCTTCTCCTCCTCCCTATCCTCTTGCTCCCCTCCCTCCTCATTATGAGGAGGAGGAATGACTTGATGATGCGAATGATGATGATGGAAAGGAAGACGAGTATATGCTTCAGCGCAGAAGTCCCACACCTTCCCATGCAAACCTGTTTCTCCTGCATCTCGGCCCTCGCGGGCCGCTATCGCGCCCCTGGGCCATCGAAAACGGATCCAGGACGATAAAACGATCCCTGGGGAATAGGTCGGGACCTCTGGGGCTGCTTCCCGAAGCTAGCTTCGACATGCTCGCGTCGTGGAGAAATCGCAGCCGTTTCTTTTGCCGCTTTCGGCCCTCAAGGGCCCTCCCTAAACCTCAGGACCCTCGGAAACCGACTCAGGATGAAAAACTGGTCCCGGGGAAGGGGCCCAGACCTCTGGAGAGCCGACCCCGTTGGGATCTGTAGGCGTGTGGGATGACTCCCCCCCCTTTAGTCCCCCTCCACTGGGGCTCCCGAGTCGCGCATTGGAGCAAAACTGGACGTCGGGGGCTATTTGCATAGGCGCCCTATGCAAATGGCTGGTGGAACGGGCCAACCCGCTGCGCGTTCCCAGGGCCCTGCTTCGGGGCGGGCCCTTTGCCTCGGTGGCCCGTGCCAATTGCCAATCGCAGGGGCCAGCCCCCCGGGACGACCCCCGGCCGCACGCATCGGGGGTCCGCGCCCGTGTGCATAGGCACCTTGTGCAAATGGCTACTGGAAAGGCCAACCCATGGTGCGTTCCCGGGGCCCTGTGTCGGGGCCGTCCGCGAGGGCGGCCCATGCATATTGCCGATCGCGCGCCCCCGCCCCCCCGACGGTCGACTTTTACTATCCTGGTTCGACGGGCTGTTCCCCGGTTGGCAGGACACTCCCCGGCTCGACGGTGAGAAACTGGGTGGGTTCTTTCCCGACTGGAGGGGGCGATTCCCCGGCTGGTGCCTCTGACGAGCTTCTTGAGAGCATCGGGCAGGCTTCTTCACAGCCTCTGGGAAGCTTCTTCAAAGCCCCTCAAAGAGAGCTTCGATAGGCTCTTTGAGAATCTCTGAGAGCTTCTTGAAAGTCTCTGAGAACCTCTGAGAAGATTCTTCAGGGCCTTTGAAACGGCTTCTTCAGAGCCTCTTGCAATGCTTCTTGAGATTATCTGTGGAATCTCGAGAAATCTGGAGAAACCCTTCTGGAACCTTGAGGGATCCAATGGGACCCTGGAGAGGCCTGAAGAATCTTCAACAAACCTGCGGAACCCTGAGAAATCTTGAAAGAAATTATGGAATCAGGAGGATCTTGAAGATTGAAATCCTCAGGAATCTGAATATGTCCCCACGAACCCTGACGAATCAAAGGAAATGCGGTGGAGTCCGGAGTTGTCCAGAAAAACCACGAAGACCCCCAAAAGAATCCCAAAAGAATCCGGAGGGACCCGGACGAATCCCAAGGAAACCTGAACACATTTTTGGAGAAACCTGAGGAACCCCAAAGAATCCTGAAGAATCTGTAGAAATCCGAAGGATCCCTGCGGAACCCAGGGAACCCTGCAGAACCCAGAGGAATCCTGCAGGGCACCCCGGAATCTTCGAAACTCCTTGGGAACGCTACGGAATCCCTGGGAATCCAACGACATCGGGAACAACCCTGAAAACTCCTCCTGATACAAATAAGAATAATAGTTTAACCAGCACATTCGGCCAATTGTGCTCCACACCAGCTGAACTTGAAGTACTCCACGCGCTGCTAAGTATGCCGCGCACGTGTCGCTACGCGAAGCTTGCCTCTGCAACCGAAAAGAACAATTGCGCACTGCATGGATCAACAGGCGCAGCGAACGGAAACGTCCAGACATCGAGTCCTATATCACACGTGCAACACTGAGGAATGCAACCTTTGCCATCGGGGTCTCATGCGGAAAACCCGCTGCCGTGCCTGCGCGGAATGGCCGAGTTGGAATGCTCGACTGTTGCCCCGAAACTTCCCAAAAGACCTTGGCCCACAACTCAGAAACCCTGGCGGAATGTGCCGAAGGCCGCTCTATATTTGACAGTGTGGGAGCCCGCACCCAGCTTTCCCCTCGTCCTCCTCATGCTCCTCTCCCCCGTCCTCCTCCTCCATTCCGCGCTCTCCTTCTTGTCATCGTCGCCCTCCCTCTTGCTCTCCTCCAAGTTCGCCTTTCACGGATTCGGCGCGAGTAGCGCCATGGCAGAATCAATCTCCAAAAGGGTCGGCGGATGCGGCGCAAGCCTGTAGAATCATGACGTCGGATGTCTGGATATCGGGAAGCTCCGCGGAGGTTCCCCAACATCTCGCCCGGCGACCGACATCGTTCTGCTGTTATTAAAAAGGGCTTCCCGGAAGCCTGGACCTCTTTCCAGGAAAAGGCTTTTTGTCCCGAGTGTTTCTGTTGGCGGTCCCGGGGCCTGGTGACGAAGTGCAGGCCCCTGGAGAGGGATAGTTGCCACAAGCCTCCTGCGATGTTGTTGCTTCACGACGCGAGGGTGTCAGGGTTTTGAAAGACTTCTCCCGAAGCCTCCGGGGCGAGTGGGGCGGTCGCGGTGGTCCTGAGCCCCCCCAGGAGGAGGAGGAGGAGGAGGAGGAGGGGAAGGGAGGAGGGAGGAGGCTCTCTGCTCCCGGGGGTGCCCCATGGTCCGACGACTCGGGTCTGCTCTCGGGGGCTGCGGTAAGCGGAGCGAGCGCAAGGAGGAGGACGCGCGCCAGGCCCCTGGGCGCGCTTGCGAAACCTGCGCCTCGGGCCCGAGGCGCCCGAAGACCGAGCAAGTTCGCTCGTGTCGCTCATATGGGTCTGCTCGAAGTTGAGCAGGGACCGACCGTCCCGGCACTCCGATAGCCCTACCACGACGTGTTCTCAGAACCCGAAGCGTTCTAAGAACAAACACAGTGTTCTTAGAACGCTAACCCGACGTGCTAAAACAAGAGACAGCCTCGACCAGAAGTGTTCTGAGAACATCTCGTGCAAACCACAAAGAGGCTCTTAGGACGTGTTTCGTTGGGCCTACTTCGGCGAGCCGGGGCGCCTCGCCCCTGCCTGACGAAGGGGAGAACGGGGAGGGCGCCGGGCCGCCCGACGGCGCAGGCCGTTGTCGCAGCGCGGCTCTTCGCAGGTCGGCTACACGCAAGAGTGACCTTGGGCAAGAGTGACCTTTGGTAGGCGGGAATGTTGTTGTCACAGGGTGGCTCTTCACAGGTCCGAGCCTCTCCCCGGGGGCCGCGGGGTGGCCAAACACGAGCGCGCAAGGAGCCACTGCCGCCTCGAGATCAGCGGTAGGGTGGCCCCACTGGGCCCGCGCCAAAAGGTCACTCCGGCGAGGGGTCACTCTCTACGTCTCGTCGAACAGGTCAGGGGGCCACTTGCGAACCCTACCCCCCTGCCCCCCACGATTTCTGAGGGGGAGGGTGGGGTTCACTTTACTCAGGAGCTCCCGAGCGAAGTGAACCCCCGTGGGATGAGGGGGAGGAGGAGGAGGAGGAGGAGGAGGAGGAGGAGGAGGAGGAGGAGGAGGAGGAGGATGGGGATGATGATGATGATGCTGATGCTGATGCTGATGATGCTGATGATGATGATGATGATGATGATGATGATGATGATGATGATGATGATGATGATGATGATGATGATGATGATGATGATGATGGAATCGTGGGGGGTAGGGGTAGGGTTCGCAAGTGGCCCCCTACAGGTCCGAGCCTCTCCCCGGGGGGCCGGCGGCCCACCCCCGGGCATCCCTGCTGGCGGCCCCCAAGGGGAGCACGGCGAGGGCCCCTGCCGACAGCGGCCAGCCGCTGGCCGCCGTGCCTCCTGCCACTCCTCCTCTAGGAGGAGGAGGAGGAGGAGGAGGAGGAGGAGGAGGAGGAGGAGGAGGAGGAGGAAGAGGAGGACGAGGACAGGGAGGGGAGGAGGAGGAGGAGGAGGAGGAGGAGGAGGAGAGGAGGAGGAGGAGGAGGAGGAGGAGGAGGAGGAGGAGGAGGAGGAGGAGGAGGAGGAGGAGGAGGAGGAGGAGGAGGAGGAGAAGCAGGCAGGGAAGCGAACTCTACACACCGGCGCCTCTTCCGGCCCTGCATCAGCATTTGCACTGGAGAGCGGGTCCTGGCGTATACGGGGCCCTGGTGTATACAGATTTCGTTGTTCCCCGGGGACATCGAGGAAACAAGTATACACCACACTACTCCAGCGCCGCCCTCGACCCTCAAGATACCCTTGGATTGAAAAACAGCCCGCCACTGGTAATGTATACGTTCCAGTTTCCGAGCAGGGGGTCATCCACGGACCCCACTCGATGGGCCCCCCCTCGGGAAGGTGCGGTGGTAGACAGACGTCCTCGGACGTGTTTGCCCTCTCGGTCACCACCTTCTTCGAGGTCTCGCCGCCGCCCGAGCCCACCGCCTCGATCTTCTTCACAACGGCCATAGAGTCTCCGATGACCTCGTGGCCCGCCGAAGTGTCGCCAGGGAGGGCCAGCAAGACGAGAGGGAGGGGGAGAACCATAATAAACCCACGATGCATCCACGGTGTTGCAACGCACCCTTCCGTCCGGAGTCCCATCCTCACCAGTCCCTACAATAAGCGCCCCTTTGAGATACAAGCACTCTGCGGACCGTCCAGAGTCCCATCCTCACTCACCAGTCCCTACAAGAAGCGCCCCTTTGAAATACGAGCACCCTGCGGAACGAAACCACTCTTTTCCCCGCAGGAGCGCCCGGGTGCATGAGGATCGCTGGAGGAACCGTCATGGCAGGACCTGCCTGAGGAACAGCGAGCTCCCGCCGAACCCGGGGTGCTCCTCATTTCAGCGCCGTGGCTGCAGGATGAGGGGGGCCACGCCATGCCAAGGAGCGTCATCACCAGGGGAGGGGGGAGCACCCCTCTCCGAGCAGGGCCCCTCAGCTCCTCCCGAGCCCCGCCAGACGGCTCACAACGCTCGAGGTCGTCCAAACACCTCCTCGATCCTGGGGGTCCTCGATCCTCAGGAGCAGCTGGCGTGCCCCGCAGTGGTGACCACCCCTGGCACGAAGTACCCGAGGGGGGCCGGACGAGCGGCGGGGAGGAGGCCGGGGGGGGAGCATGCTCGTCATGCTGGCCTCCTTCCAACGTCCTCGTCTTCCTCCTCCTCCTCCTCCTCCTCCTCCTCCTCTTCCCTCCCCCCCTCCTCCTCCTCCTTCCTCCTCCTCCTCCTCCACCTCCTCCTCCTCCTCCTCCTCCTCCTCTTCCTCCTCCTCCTCCTTCCTCCTCGACCTCCACCTCCTCCTCCTCCTCCTCCCTCCGCCCTCCCCGCTCCACATAGCCGGCGAGCACTAGACCATGACGAGTCCAGCGCGCACATGGATTCAAGGTGCCACGCAGTGCCACGCCTACTTGACGCAATTCCAGCGGCCACACCACCTGCTGGAGCATCTAGCTGTCGCCTCCCAAACCTGCCTCATGCTGACGATGGAAGGTGGTATGCCACCAGCGGGGGATGGACCAAAACCTGAAGAACCTCTACCCCAAGGAAGGCTTCAGGGAGAGGGCGGACATCCCGGCCGTGCGAGCAGCAGGGCCAGCGACGAAGCTCGCTGCACAATGGCGAACGCGAATCACAGACGTGGATGCCAAAGCAGCCTTGCTTGCCTGTCTGTGACAGCGCGCTCGGCGACAAGGCCAAGGAGGCCCTGCAGGCGGAGACAGCAGTCCGGCACCCGGAGCAATAGGAGCAGGAGCCACTGGAGCGCTACAGCCTTGACCAGCTCAGCACAGGAGAATCCAGAGGAATCCCACCAGCCCTCTGAGCGTAGGTGCTCTAGCGCGCGCGTTTCCTCTTCCACACCTCCCTCTTCCCCTTCGGGGAGGGGTGTACCCCCCACCCTTCCCCCCTCCGCTGCACCTGGACGGGGGGGGGCGCGGGTATTTGGAGCGTCCAACATGGTCCAAGACGGCTCCAAGAGCGCCTCAGAGAGCTCCAGATGGCTCCAGATGGTTTCCAAGATGCTCCAAGAGGCCCCAAGACCGCTCCAAGACGGCTCCACGTGGCCACGGAGCCTCCCATGGAAGCCCCCAGGAAGCCCAAATCCTTCAGAAACCTAAAGAATAACTATCCATGAGTTGTATCATCGAGCCTTTTTGCTTTCGATGTCCTTCCGAGGCCTCAAGATGGCCCCAAGAGAGGCCCAAGAGAGCCCCATGACAGCCCCAATGGCGCTCCAAGAAGGGTCATAGAGGTGATTTTGGGGGCCCCCGAGGGGGGATCCCAATTGACTACCCCTCCTCTTTGATCGATCTCCTCCAAGATGGCCCCCAAAGCGCCCCCCCAAGCTCCCAAGAGCGCCGTAAGAGGGCCCCAAGAGCGCCCAGGAGCCCCCAAGAAGCACCCAAGAGGCCTCCCAGAGGCTCCCAAGAAACCCCCAAGAGGCCCCAAGAGGATCCCCGAGGCACCCAAGACGCTGAAGACGCCCCCCGGGGCCCGCCAAAAGGCCCCCAGGACGCACCAAGAGGCCTCCAAAAAGCTTCCAAGAGACATCCGAGGAGACTCAGAGAGGCATTCGAGAGGCCTCTGGCCCTTCTGGTGGCCCTCCTCCTCCTCCTCCTCCTCCTCCTCCTCTTCCTTCTACTCCTCCTTTTCTTCCTCCTTATCCGCCTATTCCTCCTCCTCCTCCTTCCTCGTCCCTCCTCACCCTCCCCGCCCCCCTCTTCCACTGTCTCCTCCTCGTCCTCGTCCTCGCCATCCTCCGCCTTCGGGCCTGGCGAGGGCCCCCAGAGGCCTAATGAGCAAAGACCCTCAATCGCGACTTTCTCGCCACGAGAGGATGTCAGTGTCCTCCTCGCCTGGGGAGCCATCCGTCCTCCGAGACGGGCCAACGTGCTTTTTTCTGCTCGGATCGCCCGGCGGCGCCTTGCCGAACACCACGTGCTTTCCGTCCAGATGGCTCGTCTTTTCGGTGCAGAGGAAGAACTGGGAGCCGTTGGTGTTGGGGCCAGAGTTGGCCATGGAGAGGATACCTTGACCAGTCTTATAATGATGAAGACAAGGGGCAGGAACTGTGGTGTAGGGGTAATAGCGACAGTGAATATTATTGCTAGTCGTCTTAAAATGAGAAGCAGTTGTAGACCGGCACACGACAGGGGAACAGTTGAAAGCCAATGGGGCTTGGGTAGAGTTGGCCATGGAGAGGATGCCGTCACCGGTCTTTTACAGCGGCGAGCCCGTGGGGAAGGCAGAAGGGGTGGACCTTCGTGGAAGGTTCGGAAGGGCTCCGGCCTTCTGAGAAGCTTTGCAAGCCTCCTCTGCACACAGAAACGGATTCACAGGAGGCTAGAAAGCTTCTGCGAAGCCTCGCCGCCTTTCGAGAAGGCCTGCACCCTCTCGATTCCTCGATCGGCGCGCCGCCGAGAGACGGAGTTGCGGTGTGATCGTAATAAAAGAAATGCCAGCTGTCGTGGTCACCGTGAAAAGCGAATTCTCTTCACTGTTTTTCCCAAGCGTCCTGTGGTGTTGGGTCCGCATTTTGAATGAGAGAGCGCCCCGCGCCTCCTGCTTCCTTCCCCCTCCCCCTCCTTCCACCCTTGCCTTTGCCTTCCGCATGCCTGTTTCGGCACACCCCTCACGCGTTTCGTGGCCCCATCGGGAGCTCCACCGAGGGCCCACGTGCCAGCGCTGGCCTGCGCCCACCGCGCCCACATTGGCACACCCCTCACACGCTTCGCGGCCCCATAGGGAGCTCCACCGAAGGCCCACATGCCTAACTCGCATGCGCCCACCGCGCCCAGCACCCCTCACACGTTCTGTGGCCCCATAGGGAGCTCCACCGAAGGCCCACATGCCAAACTCGCATGCGCCCACCGCGCCCATTTTGGCGCACCCCTCACACGTTCCGTGGCCGCACAAGGAGCTCCACCGAAGGCCCACATGCCAAACTCGCATGCGCCCACCGCGCCCATTCTGGCACACACCTCATACGTTTCGTGGCCCCAGAAGGGGCCCTTCTGAAGGTCCAAATGCCAGCGCGCGCATGCGCTCACCGCACTGGCACACCCCTCACAAGGCTGGTGACCTCACAGGAAACTCCACCAAGCGAGGTGCTACAACAACGGTACCGACAACTGCATGTGGTTGGGTCCTTCGCCAGGCTAATTGTAACAGGTGGTGTTGGCGTTTGGCTTTGGTGGGAGGTTGGCGGGGGTGAAGAGGCGGATAATGAGTAGTAGAATGGGGAGGAGACAGTACCTTCGCCAGTGTGCTCAAGCTGGAAATTCTCATCGGCGAACTTCTCTCCGTATATCGACTTTCCGCCAGTTCCGTTGTGGTTGGTCCGCCACCGTGCTCCCTGGCAGGTTGAGGCGTGGTAACATGCCAAGGGCTGCCTGGCAAGGTGCCTGTAATCTTCTACAGTCAGCCCGTCTAACAAGGATGCGCGGTAAGGGTACGAGGGCCTTGGAGGCCAATGTGAACGTGTTTCGAACGAGGTTGGCCAGCGAGAGTCGCTAAGGATGGGCCGAAGGGGCAAGGATGCAAGGGTACCCTTGGGAAGGTTGCCCATCTTTCCTATGCGGGTGGACTGTTATCTTCTGAGGCTCCCCCCCCCCCTTTACCAGCGTCCATCTGCGTGCACCGCTTCCTCCCGAAGCCACGCTTTCTCGCACAGAAACAGCTGATCCACGCTCACGAGGCCACGATCCCTCGCAACAGCCTGTCACTCAGCGCCCCGAAGCTCTCAAGACGGCCCTGGCAGGCGACCAAGGCCACCGAGAAGGCCCAACGAAGCTTCCATGTGGCCGAAGATGGCCCCCAGGGCGGCCCCAAGATGGCCTCACGACGGCCCAAGAAGCTTCCAATGTGGCCCCACGGCGGACCAAGAGGTCCACCAGAGGGTCGCAGGAGGGCCCAAGAGGACCCCATGATGGCCCAGGAGGCCTCCAAGACGACCCCAAGACGGCCCAAAAGGGACTTCGGAGAGACCCAAGACCGCCCCAGAAGGCCGTTCGACAGCCCAAGACGGCGCCAAGATGGCCCCACAACGGCCCCACGACGGCCCCCCCTACGGCCAAGAGGGCTTCAAGACGGCCCAAGGGAGCCCAAAGGCGGGCATGACAGGGCCGGCCCCAAGTGACCCCCAAGACTGCCCTACAGCAGCCCAAGACCGCCCCAAGAGAGCTCCTCAGGCAGTGAAGACGACATGCGTCGCATGTGACGGCCTTCTCTTCCTACTAATACTGCTCATTCACCTCCTTGTCATCATCCTCCGTAGCCGTTTTGGCTCAAGGTCGTGTTCCCCCGATTTCTTTGGACGCCCGAAATGGGTACGGAAGAAATGGGTACAATGCCCAACAACGAATTGTGTCCCAAACCAACAGCGGCCGCTGTTGGGCAGGCGGGCTTCTGTCTCGAATGGACACAGGCCGCGGCGGCGTGGACAGCGAATCCTGTTCAAAATGAACAGGAACAGCTGTTGGGCATTATCCCCATTCTTTCCGTACCCACGTCGTTCGTGCCGATCAAGGCCGTGTTCCCCCGATTTCTCGGCAGCTCTTCGCTGGCAGCCCGGGAGCGGCGCGGCTGAGGGAGGCCCGGAACGGCATGGCCACGGGCCACGGGCCGCGCCTCGGCAAGGCCGCCTGCGGCAGGGCTCTTTCGCGAGGCGGTGCGGCAGCGCGGACTGCCGCTGACATCCTCAGGGGAACGAAAAATGCCATAAACATAAAAACTCGGAGGTCCGCGCGGATTTCTTGGATCTGCGCTGGACCCCCCTCCCTGGCGCTCGGAGCGCGCCAGGGGCGGCGCCGGAGGCGCCGCCAGGGGGCCCCACCGCCGATCCGAGAAATCCGCGCGGACCTCCGAGTTTTTATGTTTATGTCAGTGCTCGTTTCCCTAATCCTAGTCAAGCGCCTCTCGAAGGAGCTCGAGGAAGCGCGAAAAGAGCGCCAATACCTGCAGGACGCCTTTGCGTTGGCCATCGCGGGCAGCGACATCGGCGACAGTGTCCTGCCCGCGCTGAGCGACCTGAACGGTGGCCGTAGGCCCTCGGGTTCGCGCCGCCCGCGGCGGAACGTGGCGCTCCATTCGGTGCCCGAGGGCATCGACAGCATCGCCACGGCTGGTGGGTTGCCATGGAGGCGTGCTGCCAGAGGGGCCATGCCCGACAACCGGGCAGCGCTCAGGGCGCCTCCCGTGGAGTGCCTCGTCGAGGCGTGCTGCGCCGAGACGCCTGCGAAGGAATGCAGCCTGGATGTCAAACGGCCCGCCGCTGGGCCAGCCGCCTGCAACCTGGCCGCCCCCGAAATCGTGCCTGGTGCTCTCGCCAACGGCGCCGTGTGGCGGCCCGCCGACGAGCAGGGCGAGGAGGAGCAGGGCGAGGAGGCGCAGGGCGAGGAGGAGGAGGAGGAGGAGGCGCAGGGCGAGGAGGAGGAGGAGGGGGAAGAGAAGGAGCAGGGCGAGGATGAGAAGGGCGAGGAGGAGGAGGAGGAGGAGGAGGAGGAGGAGGGAGGAGGAGGAGGAGGGGGAGGAGGAGGAGGAGGAGGAGGAGGAGGAGGAGGAGGAGGAGGAGGAGGAGGAGGAGGAGGAGGAGGACGTGCTCCTGCAGGCGCTCGCTGCTGACAATCCCGCGTGCGGGGCCCACGGCCCCCGACGCGGCGCGTGCGGGGGGTGGCGGCGCGCCTGCTTGCCTGCCGCCCGCGGCGCCGCTGGGTGCAGCGGGGCCGAGTGGGGTCGTGTCCGCTTGCGCCGAGGGCAACGATAGCAACGACAACGACGACAACGACAGCAACGACAGCAACGATGACAACGGTCGTTGTTCTCGTTCTCGTTGCTCTTGTTGCGATCGTGGTGATCGCTGCTGCTAACGTTGACAGGGCCTCCTCGTGGAGATCGTGCCCGCGAGCACTCGGCCGATGGCAGTCCAGGTGCTCTCGAGGGTCCGACGCCCGGATGTGCGGTGGACCGCAGCAAACCGGCTCCGGCGACCGAAGAGGAGCCTCCCTCGGAGGTCACGCTTCGTGTGTGTGTGTGTGTGTGTGTGTGTGTGTGTGTGTGTGTGTGTGTGTCTGTGTGTGTGTGTGTGTGTGTGTGTGTGTGTGTGTGTGTGTGTGTGTGTGTGTGTGTGTGTGTGTGTGTGTGTGTGTGTGTGTGTGTGGGGGGGGGGGTCTGGAGGGGGCGGCCCCGACGTACGAGCAGCTTGAGGCTGCACGGGCTGCGCCGCGGATCCTGGACTCCGCGAGGGAGGGCGCGGTGAAGGCCTTCGCGGCGCGGCAGGGGGCCGAGCGCCGTGGCGGCTCGCGCCGCTGGCCCAGCCCGCGGCTCCCTCGCGTGCTGCCGGCGGCCCCCGCCCCTCGTCCTCCCCCGAATTCCGCGGCGCGGGCGCGGCGCGGTCGTCGGAGGCGGTCTCTCTCTCTCTCTCTTTCTCGCTGTTTTGTTGTTGTTGTTGATGTTGTGGTTGTTGTTGTTGTTGTTGTTGTTGGTGGTGGTGGTGTTGTTGTTGTTTTCTCTCTCACACACACACTCTCTCTGTCTGACTCCATTTCTTTCGTTATTCATTGTTGTTGTTGTTGTTGTTGTTGTTGTTGGTGTTGTTGTTGTTGTTGTTGTTGAACAGTATTACTTCTAAAGAATAATTATTGTTGGGGCCCCTGGTGCATGGCCCCCCCGCCGCGCCTAGGCCGCAGCCTCATTTTCATCATTTTCGTGAGGAAGTCTCAGGCAAAACGATGTCATCCAGATCCGGTTGTGTTGTTACGATCGGTTTTCCCTTGCCAAAAATAAGCTAAAGTGGACATTTCTTGTTCTAACATAACCAAACTTCAAGAATCCCTTGCAAAAAATAAGGTAAAGTGGACATTCGCGCGCGCAAGACGAAATCCTTCCAAAACCTTAGTGTTCGTAGCGATTTTAACATAAAAACATCAAAAAACCAATGGTTTTTCAACAAAAAAATGTCAAAATCTCATCCCGCGCGCTCTTGCGGATTCGTAGGAAACCCAACACTTTTTAAACATTTCTGTCAAACGGGCTTTTGCGAGCAACTTTTTCGAACTTCTGCAACAACGGTTGCGCACCTGCCAGGGCCATCATCCCTGTCAAATAATACCATGCGGGACACATTCGTTTTTTCTTCGCGCGCGCACGCCGTCGTCGTCGGCCGCGGGGCCCTGAATAGTAGCCACGGTCGTCCGCATGCCACGAAGTGAAGTGTCCGAACGTCATAGGGCGGGAAGCTGGGTGTGGGTGGTGGCGAAGAGTCGTTTGGAAATTTGGTAGAGCTTGAACCGGCCCCCCCACAAAGTGGGGGTATTGCCCGCCTCCTATGAAAACCCTGGCACTGGTGAGAACGGTGTGTCCCCACGTGCTAGTAATTGTTGTTGTTGTTGTTGTTGCTGTTGTTGTTTCCTCTCTCTCTCTCTCGTCATCCGCCTCCTCGTTATCCTTCTCCTCCTCATCCCGGCTTTTCCAAGCTTGGGGACACGAGGCGCCTCATGTGATGGTGATTATCATGTGCCCCTCGACTTTTTCTCGGCAGCGAAAGCGGACGCTGACGTGGTCGAATAGCCGAGCCCACTCGAACAATCGCCACCAACAATGCTGGGCTGGCACGGTGGCAGGACTTGCCGCAGGCAGCCGGATGAAGTCTCCGCCCTGGCACATGAAACCCGGAATGACGCGGTGGAACGAACAACCCTTGTATCCGTAGTCCTTCTCGTGCGTGCACAGCTGCCTGAAATTCTCCGCAGTCTTGGGCACGACGTCCCCCCGGAGCATCATGACGATCCGTCCAGCGTCCTCGTCGCCGATCTTGATGTCGAAGTAGACCCTTGGGCACTTTGCCGCCTTGCCCAGGAGGGCGTCCCACCTGAGATCCGAGGGGAGTGCTCCTCCTCCTCCCTCCTTCCTCCTCCTCCTCCTCCTCCTTCTCCCTCCTCCCTCCTCCCTCCTCCCTCCTCCCTCCTCCCTCCTCCCTCCTCCCTCCTCCCTCCTCCTCCTCCGCCTCCGCCTCCTCTTCCTCCTCCTCCTCCTCCTCCTTCTCCTCCTCCTCCTCCTCCTCGCCCTGCTCCTCCTCCTCCTACTCCTCCTCCTCCTCCTCCTCCTCCTCCTCCTCCTCCTCTCCTCCTCCCCCTCCTCCTGCTTTCCCCCATCTCCTCCTGCTCCTTCTCCTCCTCCTCCTCCTCCTCCTCCTCCTCCTCCTCCTCCCCCTCCTCCTCCTCCTCCCCTTCTCCGTATGAGCGACTTCTCCCGATCGCACCCGAAGACGTGTCGGTAGGGCGGGCGGGGCGTTTCGCCTGAGACGTCTTCACCATCAGAGCTTGATGGTTTTTTCGGCGATCAGCAAACCAGCCAATCACCGACGACTCAATGAGCTCTCGGACCGCAAACCGCCATAGCAATGCTGCCCCGCAGCATGCATTGGATGAGAGCCTGGCCACCAACGAAGGCGACACAGGGAGGAGGAGGCAGAGGAAGGAGGAAGACAAGGAGCAGGCAGCGTGGTCGTACAAATTGGCCGGCACGAACGCTGACAGGTTGAACTACAGCGGCAGCCCCCACAAGGGGCAGTAAAACAAGGCAATCGGTATTGAAACCAGCGGGTGATGGGATGTCTCCCCCATCCCGGTCACGCTGGCGAGAGGCAGGAAGGGGGGGACCAGAGACGAAGGTCAAAAAGAGGGGAGGGACCAGAACAAGAGAGAACCGCTGAGAGACTCGCAGTGGCAAGCACCCACAAAAGCCAGACTGACGCGCCCGGCAGGCCTGCGAGCACGGACGGCACGCAGCAGTGCTATAAAGCTGAGTGCCAAGCACGCGACATAACCAAGGCGATATAGGGCGGCCAAGGAGAGGCCAAGCCGCGCCGAAACCGGTGCAAGCCTGAGGCGGACCCGAGAGAGGCAGGGCGGCCCGCAGGCGTCGGGCAGTGCAGGGCGAGGAAGCGGCCTCGGCCCACGCGCGAGCGGTGCCACGGCACAAACTGGAAGAAGAGAGCAGGGGAGGGGAGGGGAGAGCAACGAAGGAGAAGACGAAAGGACTATACTCGCACGCCATTCTGCGACGCACCCAAACTGATGCGGCCAGCCCTTTCCAAGGCATGCGAGCGCCGTGCAGCCGCCATCAGCGGCTGTCAGTGCAGTCGCCGTGCAGCCGCCTCAATCTGTGCTTCCTGCCTCAGCGCCGCGCGCATTCGTCTTCAACGTTTGCAGCAGTTTCAACCATGGAGGGCAGCTCCATTTCAAAAGATGGCTCTCTCCTCAGCGCTTTGCACATTCGTCTTAAACGTTTGCACCAATTTCAAACAGTCGCATTGTTGCAGTCCAGCGAACGGTGTGCTGGCACGGGTTAGGATTGTCAGGACGTAGCAGTCATGTTGATTCGCGGCGTTGAAGACCGAGGAATGGTGTTCTGACACGGTGTAGGATTCCCAGGCCGCCAGAGTCACGTTGACTCGCGGCGTTGACGTCTAACAATATTGTCTTGGCACGCTTGAAGATTCTCAAACATTTGTCTTCCAAAGAGCACCTCCCGCAATGATGGTACATTATTGCAGGGACCAGTGAAGAGGGAACTTGAAAGAAGGGTTGAACTAGGGAACTTGGAAGGAGGGTTGAACTATTGCAACATCGTTGGTCTCCTCCACATCCTCTTCTCCTCTGCTCTCCTCCACATCATTTTCTCCTGCTCCTTCCCTTTCTCCTTCTTTCGCCTCCACCTCCTCCCCTCTTCCTCCTCCGTATCCTCCTCCTCCTCCTCCTGCTCCTCCTCCTTCGCCCCCTCCGCATCCCCAAGGGCCCACTTCTTCTGGTACACCGAAAGGATGTACGCGTCGAGGTCGGCCTCTGTGGCGTATTTCTCCCTGAGAGCCTTGCCCTTTTCGGAACCCTCGTCCTTGTACTCCTTGCGTTGCCCGTCGGCCCAAGTCTGCGGAATACGCCAACTTACAAAGGAACAGCAGACATGAGCGATGGGGAGTAGGGTGAGGAGGACGATGAGGAGGAGGAGGAGGATGCGGAGCCAGAGGAGGTTGAGGCGAAGGGACGGAGGAGAGGAAGTGAGGAAGAGGGTGGAGGAGGACGAGGAAGGGGAGGAAGAGGGAGAGGGGATGGATCAAGGAAGGTGAAAGGGGCACCAAGGAGGAGGAGGATGGGGCGGAGGAGAATCAGGAGCGGGTGCGAATGGGAGGAAGGAGGGCAAATATTGGCAGAAGGGAGGTGGGGGCGGTACACTTCTTACTCCTTACTCCCCGACGCCTTGAGCGCCTCCTCGTTCTTGGTGCCGAAGAATCGGGCCTTGGCCGCCTCAGTCCACTCGCCCTTCTCGTCCTTGAAGCCCTGCGGGATGTGCTCCATCGCCCAGGAAAAATCAGAAGGCACGCGTTCCGGAGGCGAGCCGCTCTTGAGCCCAAGTGGCTCCAGATAGCACTCAGTGTGGGACGCATCTGTGGGACAAAAATACACATCTGTGGGGAAAAAAAAGCACACTGTGGGAAAAAACGCGCACACACAGAGTGTGTGTGTGTGTGTGTGCGTGTGCGTGTGTGTGTGTGTGTGTGTGTGGTTCCCACAGTGTGTGTGTGTGTGTGTTTTTGTGTGTGTGTGTGTTTTCCCACAATGTTTTTTCCCCACAGACGTGTGTTTCCCATATGCAGCTGGATTCGCAGGGGGGACATTCGGAGGCCATGCGCGGGAGACTCATGGAGGGTAAAAAACACACAGGCACAATGAATCGACGATTCCCCAGAAAATATGGGAACATATGGGAAGTAGGGGGGAAGACAAAAACCCAGAACATATGGGAAAATATGGAGAATCCTGTTTTCTGTGTATTTATTTGTGTGTGTCTCAGGTCCACTTCAGAGACGCACGGCGGAAACCCAGCGTGCCTGGCAGCGGCAGGGCCGACGTCCTGGGGAGGCCTGCGGCCACGTGCGGCGGGATCCCCGAAGCCCCGAGCCCCAGCACACCGACAGCTCTCTCGGAGAGCTGAGTTCTACCTCCGCCGCCGAAGATCGGCGGTGGACAAACCTCCCTTTAGTAAACCTCCCATTAGTGAAAACGGCCTGGGGCCGAAACTGACGGACCTGGACCCGCAAAAATGACAGCCGCGACGCCCTCCCGCGAACCGAAAACGGCCGATTCACTAATCGACGTGTCAGGGTAGGGGGTCTGTCCACCCCCGAGAAGAAGAAGAAGTGCCGACTCCCTTAGTCAGACCTGACAGGTCATGTATACCTGAAGGGGTGAGATCCTTGCTGCCGTATCGTTGCTCGGACCGCTGCGGCAGCTGGAAGGATGAGGGAGAGAAGGGAGGAGGAGGAGGAGGAAGAGGAGGAGGAGGAGGAAAGATGAGGACGCTGCTGTGGCCTATGGCTACAGTGTCTGCTCCCCTTCACCAAGACTGCAACGGGAGAGCGCGTCGCAGACTGCGCGTAGTATATGCTCTGCCCACAGCTGGAAGTCTGCGGAGGGTTGAGGCGCTCCTTCCCCTTCCCCCCCAGCTTTTGCTCTCGGGGCAGACAACGGAGACGAGCCAAGCACCGGAGGAGCCACGCAGGAGGCGGAGGAACAGGATCAGGGGGATGAGGGGGGGATATGAGAAGGCAGCAGACGAGGTGGATGGCGAGGCGGAGGACGAGAAGGACGACGAATTGCAGGAGGGAGGGAACAATAATGGGAATGTGGGGAATGAGGAGCACAGAAGGCGGAGGAGGAAGAGGAGAACGATGAGGCTGAGAACAAGGAGAGAAGAGGCAGGCGTCGGCAAGGGCGAAGTCCATGACAACGATGAGGACGAGCAAGAGAAGCACTTCGATGACGAGGGGAACGAGGGAGGACCAGGAACATGAAAAGGAAGGTGGGGGAGGGCGCAGCCCCGATGTGCCGAGAGCGGCCGGCAAACTGACGCCCTACCTGCGCACCTGCACGGCAAGCCTCACGACAGCAGGAAAGCCGACTGGCCCTCGTTCATGGCCAGCTGCAGCTTCTGCCTGAGGGCCTCCGGCGAGGAGTACTCCGGCAACTTCAGATAGTTCGCGCACGTCATCACCGACGGCATGAACTCGTCCGGTGACCGCGGTGCCTCCGGGGCCTCCTTCTTCACCACCGTCAGCGGTGGCTTCAGCCCTGCAAACCCGCTGGCCGGAAGGGCCGGCGTGCCCGACACGAACATCAAGAACTTCCGCCGATCCTCCGGCCCGAAGGCGGCCATCGCGGCCAGCAGGCTGCGGAAGCACGCGGACTGCGCGCTGTAGCCGTGCTGCGCCTTGATGTGCGCACCGAGGTGGTCCAGCGTCCAAAACGTGTCGTCGTTGACCTGAGGGGCAGCGTCAGTGGGGGACCGGCTCAGGGGGGGACACATGGAGCCGGAATCGGCGGTACACCGCCGATAGATCTGCGATGGGCCCGTGGCAGCGAATCCGGACGATCCTGGGCGGGGCGGGACTCTCGGGCCCTATCGTCGATCAGTGGGCGATTGTAGAAGAAGAAAAACGCCATCAACATAAACTTTTGGCGCTCCACGCGGATTTCTTGGATCTTCGCTGAATCCCCCTCCCTGGCGCGCTGAGCGCGCCGGGGGCGGCGCTGGAGGCGCCGCCGGGGGGGGGGGCTCCTAAGCGCGGATGCAAGGACCCCACGCGGAGCGCCAATAGTTTATGTCCATGGCGCTGTTTCTTCTTCGGCCATCGGCGACCAGTGGGCGATTGGGGGTCGATGGGCCTGCTTCCCCCTGAGCCTGCTTCCTCCCGAGCATTGCCCCTTCTGACCGAGGCGCCCATGACGATCGAGGAGAGCTCCCCCTCCGACCAGATCTGGCAGGCGCCCAGTGGCAGCAGCTCGGCGAAAGCCTGCCGGAAGGCGGCCGCCTGCGGCTCGCAGGCGGACGCCAGGGACGCCTCGGACACGACGACGACGACGCCACCGACGACGACGCCGCCGACGCCGACGCCGACGCCGACGCTGACGCCGACGCCGACGCCGACGCCGAGGCCGACGACGACGCCGACGACGAGGCAGAGACGCCTCGGACACGAGCGCGACGTACTCGTGCACGCTGCTGGCCGCGAGCGCGATGCTGGCCCCTCCGGGCTTCAGCTCGATCGATGGATGGCCCGGCAGCGTGAAGTCGACGCACAGGCCCTCCAGGTCGGCGGCGCTCATTGACTGCAGGCCACCCAGCTGGCCGAAGAGCGCGGGGTCGACCTCGCGCAGGGAGAGCTGCGACAGGGGGCCGTGGCCCAGGACCAGGCGCCAGAACAGCGGGTGCAGCTGGATGTCCACCAGGCGGCTGTCGAGGATGCACTTCGCCACCACGTGGCCCAGCAGGCGGAAGCGCTCCAGGATCTGCTGCGCCTCCCTGTCCCGCCCCTCGCGCAGCCACCCCGGGTGCCTCCAGGCCGCCGGCACGGGGGGCCAGAGCAGACATGTCGCCAGGGCACCGCGCCGCACCGCCCATGCGTCGCCGACGCGGCGCGGTGCAGAGCCGAAGGAGCGATGAAGAACGAGGTTCTGCGCGAGATGCCGCAGCGACCCTGCGCGGTGGCTTACCCGTGCCAGCAGCGCGGCGCGCCGCACGTGATGCGAGTGCGCCTGCGCGCGACCTGACGCGGGCAGCTCACGCACCAATGTCGGCGCAGACGACCCCACTATCTTTTGTCGCTCAGATGTTCTCCGTCCTGACGTCGCCTGCGCATCGGCGGCGCATCGGCGATGCGGCGAGAACCTCCGACCCCATCTGCTCCCCTCAGATCCGACGTCACGAAATGATGCAACATAACTTGAGCACCACGACTAGAGCCGTAGGCCCAATGTTCTTGCAGTATTCCTCAAGCCGCATGGAGCTGCGAGTGCCCAGGGGCCCGAGACGAATCGAAAGCGCCCAGTGTGGAGAAAGTTGTGAGGCCAGGAGCTCAAAGCCCAGCCCCACTTGGTGGGAAGACCAAAGAGCACCGATACCGCCACTCCCTGGTCCTCTCCTGGAGCGCGCTCTGACGAGCATCTCGTGGCGAATCCAGCGGTGGCGACGAGGGCCTCCGAGGAAGCCAACACAAGGGAAAACGGGCGGAGGGCAGCGGTGTGGGTGCCTTTTCCTCCTCCGATTTGGGTGGCCTCCGGTGCCGGGGCTCGGGGTACAGCATCCCCAGCGGCACGCCCGCCCGGAAGAGCCGGGGCTCGGACGTGCGCAGCGCCTCTGCCACCTGCGCGTAGAACTCCAGCGTGGGCCCCAGGCCGGTGCCCACCTCTCCCACGTACTCCACCTCTGCAGGAGGGCCCGGCAGAAGAACGTTTTTTTTTTTTTTTTACGAACGCAACAACTCTCGAGTCACGTGTGCACTCCATAGCGGCACGCGGCAGAGATTGACCAGTGGCTTTATTGACCACGATGGAAACCACCGCAACCGCAAGTTCACAAAAAGATTCCAGGACGGGCGCAATCCCAAATTTACATGGCAGCGTTTCGCACTTGCACTCACGGTTCACTCTGCACTGCGCGCAGCGCATGCAATTACACGCGCCTTCGCCTTGCAAACATCACCCCAGGAACCATCTTAATAACACCAAAGGTGACCTGTGGGACCTGCGGGACCTGTGGAACCTGCCGGAATTGGGAGAAATGTTGGGAGCGTGAGCCCTGTGGAACTTGTGGGAGCTGTGCGGGCTGCGGTAGCTGTGGGACCTGAGGGACCTGCGAGACCTGTGGGACCCTTGGGACCTGTGGGACGCGTGGGCCTGGTGGGACCTGTGGGGCCTTCGAAATTGCAAAACTTGTCGTCCCTGCGAGACCTGTGGGACCTGTGGGACCTGCGGGGCTTGCGCCACCTGCGACACCTGCCTGACCTGTCGGACCTGTAGGACCTGAGGGACTCGCAGGACCTGTGGGACCTGCAGGACCTGCGATACCTAGTGGGACCTGTGGCGCCTGTGGCACCTGTAGGCCCCGTGGGACCTGCGGAACTTGCGGGGCCTGCGGGACCGGCGCGACATGTGGGACCTGTGGGACCTGTGGGACCGGAGGGGCTGGGTGGACCTGTGGGGCCTGTGGGACCTGTAGGGCCTGAGGGGCCTGTGGGGCATGCGTCGCCTGTGGGACGTGTGGGACATGCGGGACCTGCGCGACCTGCGAAACCTGTGGGACCTGCGGGTCCTGCGGAACCTGCGGGACCTGCGGACCCCGTGGCCCTTGTAGGACCTGTAAGCCCTATCGGGCCTGTGGGACCTGTGGGGCCTTCGGGGCATGTGGGACCTGGGGGGACTGGGACTTGCGGGGCCTGCGGGACTTGCCAGACCTACGAGGCCTGCGGGGCTTGCGGGACTTGTAGGACCTGTGGGACATGTGGGGCATGTGGGACTTGTGGGACATGTGGGATATGCTGGGCCTGCGGGATTTGTGGGACCTGCGCGACCTGCGGGACTTGTGGGACTCGTGGGACCTGTGCTGGCGGCGGGACCTGTCGGACCTGCGGGACCTGTGGGACCCGGGGGGCCTGTGGGACCTGAGGGACCTGAGGGACCTGGGAGACCTGCGGAACCTGTGGGACCTGTGAGAGCTGCGGGACCTGCGGGACATGTGCGACCGGTGGACCTGCGAGAACCTGTGAAACCTGTGGGGTCATTCATACCTGTGGGACCTGTGGCACCTGCGGACCTGCGGGACCTGCGGGTCCTGTGGGACCTGTTGGACCTATGGGTCCTCTGGGACCTACGGGACCTGTGGGAATTGCGGGACATGCGGGACCTGCGAGACCTTTAAAACCTGTAAGACCCGTGGGGCCTGCGGAACCTGTGGGACGTGCGGGACCTGCATGTGGGACCTGTGGGACCTGCGGGGCCTGCGGGGCCTATGGAGTATGCGGGACTGGCGGGTCCTGCGCGACCTGCGAGACCTGTGGGACCTACGGACCCTGTGGATCCTGTGGGGCCTGCGGGACCTGTGGGGCTTGTGGGACCTGTAGGACCTGTGGGACCTGTGGGACCCAGTGGGACCTGCGGGACCTGCGGGGCCTGCGGGGCCTGCGGGACCTGCGAGACCTGCGCGACACGCGGGACCTGCGGAACCTGTGGAACCTATGGGACATGTGAAACATGTGGGACCTGTGGGGCCTGTGGGACCTGTGGGGCCCGCGAGGCCTGTGGGACCCTTGGGACCTGTGGGACGTGTGGGACCTGTAGGACCTGCGAGACCTGTGGGACCTTTGGCACCTTCTTTGCGACTTGTGGGTCCTGTGGGACCTGTAAGACCTGTAGGACCTGTGGGACCTGTGGGACCTGCGGGACCTGTGACACCTGCAAGACCTTGGGACCGGTGGGATCTGTTGGGCCTGAGGGACCTGTGGGACCTGTGGGACCTGCGGGACCTGCGGGACCTCCGGGACCTGTGGCACCTGTGGCACCTGTGCGGCCTGTGGGACCTGCGGGACCTGCGGGACCTGCGGGACCGGCGAGACCTTCGAGACCTGCGGGACCCGTGGGACCTATGGGACCTGTGGGACATCTGGGACACGTGGGACCTGTGGAACCTGTGGGACCTGTGACCGCCGAGGACCCAAGTAAGGCCCTGAATTCTGGGACCGCCAGGCACCCAAGTAACGACCTTACTTGGGACCCCGGGAATTCCTTATTAAATTTGGTGGATCGACAGATGTCTCGCATTTTGGGACCATCGAGGCCCCCCGGGGGGCATTTATTAAGGAACCAGAAGTTTCCTTACGTCCACCATGTTTTCTTGGAGCGGAAAGACCCAAAGTTCAAACGTCCCGGCGTGGCCGTCGGAGGCCCCCAACCAGCCACCCAGCTTGGAAACGCGCGGCAAATGTTTCGCCGAGGCTGAACGCGACTCTGCTGCCGTCGCCACCGTAGCTGCACTGCATCCGGTGATCCACTGGCCTCAGGGCCCCGAAGAGTAAGCCTCCTAGCGGTGTCCTGACGACCTCCTGGAATCTGGGGGGAGACCGCCGGGGGACCTCCCCTGGTCCTCTTGGGGGCCCCCCGCAAACTTCCAGAAGGGGGCTGGGAGGTCTCCCAGAAGCTTTTTCTGGTCCTTGCAAGCCTTCTGGGAATCCTCCCCGAGGACCAGGGTCCGGGAGCCTCCCCCAGACCTCGAAATCTGGCAGGGCCCCCTCCAAGGGGAAACTTCCGGGGAGACCAGGGGAGGCCCCCTGGAAACCTCCCCTGGTCCTCCCGGGGCGCTGGGGGGAAACTCGGTGGAGGACCAGGTGAGGTTTCCTGGAAACTTCCCCTGGTCCTCCCGAAAGCCTCCCACAGGAGACCCCCCCCCTGCGGGAACTCTCATCGGAGGCTTCCAGGTGAACCAGGGGAAGCCTCCCAGAGACCTCCCCTGGTCGTGCCGGAAGCCTGGGGGAGGCCTCGCCTGGTGCTCCCAGGGGCCGTGGGAAGCCTCTCGCCACACCTTGTGGAAACCAAGGGAAGCCCGGAAGGCCTTCCGAAGCCCTCGGGGGGATCAGGGGGAGGTCTCCAGGAGAACCAGAGGAAGTCTGGTGGAGGCCCCCTCCACCTCGCCGGAGGAGGGCCCGCTGGGAGGTCTGGTCGACGTGGAAGGGGGGCACCCCACCAGACCTGTTGAAGGTGGAAGGGAGGTCTGGTACCAGACCTAGTGGGGTTGGGGGTAACTGAAGACCCAACCCAGGCAAAGCAAGAAAACCAGCATGGAGGCGAACGCGGCCCAAGACGGCACCAAGATACCCCCCAGGCAACTCACGACGGCCCAAGAGGGCCCCCAATGTCCCAGGTAGCCCCATATACGACTCAAGAGTGTCCCAGGAGGCCCCCATGACAACCCGACAGTAACCCATGACATACCACATGTTGCCCATGTGTGCCACGTGAGAACCCCAGGAGACGCAATAATGAGACAAGGAGAACGACATGGAAGAAGGGAGGGTGACAACATGGGGGACGTGGGAAGGGGGAGGGCGACGACGTAGACGAAGGAGTGCGCCCCGAAGCGGCGCGGAAGAGCGCGTCACATGTTGCGGCCCTTGCAAGGCTATGGGCGACGACATGTCGCGCGTTATGGCTTTCGTGGCGGTGCTCGAAGACTCGCCACGCCGAGTGCTGCGCGGTCGCGGTGCGCGGGACTTGCCGCGAACAGATCGGCATGACGCACGCGCCGTGGTTTCTACCACAACCGCGCGACGCGTATGATTTGTCAACAATGTCGCGCCCTCCACGAGCGGACCGGGCCCTCCACCTTGAGACGTGCGCAATAAAACACCATCAAAACATAATGCGAGTGGACGAGGGGGAAAGCAACCAGAAGAGGTCGCGCGAAAGGTGGACAACAAATGAACAATGCTCACAAAAAAATCACATGCGCAAGCGCCCAACGAAACAAACTTATAGACACTCCAACAATTTGGCGTGCCGCGAAGAAGGGAAAAGGGGCGGGGGGCCCGCGTGCCCACGAGAAACAAACTTAACGGCATGGTAATCGCTACTGGACACGCCGTCACGCAGAGCCGCTCTGACAACACACACGCACACGGGCGCATCATCGCGCAAAAGCGGCCGAACCACGCCGCGCGAAGCATCGCTGCGCCAAGGCGATCCGCCCATGCAAAACACGCGCAAATGGCATCCGAAAAGAGCGTTACGCGCCGCGCAAAAAAATATGGCGCGGTGCCGCAACAATCAGGCGGCTACGAATGTAAACTCCTCTGAACTGCGCGCACGCGCGTCGTGTTAAACAGGCCGCGCCGCGCAGACACGCCACTCGGTCTCGCGCCAGCACGTCGAAGGGAAGGTCTGCGGGAGACGCTCTGCAAGTGGCAATGAAGCAACCCCACGAGAACGCGATACATGTGAAATCGAAGCACGTGCCAACAATAACCGCGACAACAGAACAACCAACAAAAAATCATTTTAAAGAAACATCCATAACTTCCAGTTGCGGTGGTTTCTTGCGCGGTCATTTATTTACAGCAACATCCCAAAAATAAAAAAAAAAAAAAAAAAAAAAAAAAAAAAAAACACTGGCGCGAAGAACTGAATTGGCCGGCCGGGTAAACGTCACCACATTCAGGGGGAAGGGGAAGAGGAGGGGAAGCTTGTCAAGCATACGCAGAAAGAGTCGAGCAGAATCGAAAAGTCGTCCCCAGACTGCTCTTTGACTGCGTGTTGAGTATTCACCCTGTAGGGGGACATGCCCGACTTAATCCCAAACCTCCGACGACCTGCTTCTTTCAGTCCGGGCGTTTTCCGCGACTTCAGCCTCATGGGGCCCGTAGCCACCGAAAACGAATTCGGGATGAAGCAGCACCCCCGGGGAAGGGGTCGAGACCTCTGGGGCCGCGAACTGAAAAAGCAGATCGGCGGATGACGGGGTCTGTGGAACTCACGTCATCGAGGAAGTGCGGCCAACAGCGGCGCTTCCTGCACCGTTTCTGGCGAATCCCGCGGCTCCACGGGAAGATTCCCAAACAGGCACTCTCACACGGAACGTCCTCACGACATTTGCCCTCAGGGAAAGACCAAGCGTGCCTCCTGACACGCTTTCCGGCGAATCCGGCGACTCAGGGACACGCCCCTTTCCTCTCTCTCACACATATACAGATGTGTACATATATATATATATATATATAGATATACGTATATACATATATATGTACATATATATATATATACGTATATACATTCATACACAGAAATAAAAATGCACAGAAAGTCACAATCAACCGCAGAGCGGTCGGCTAATAATCAGCACCCTATACAAACGGAGCCCTTCTGTAAACGCACCCAGGCAAGGAATCGACCAGCGCGTGGCCGCTCAGAAGCACAGCCAACGCCAAGTCCAGGGGGTCAGGGTTACTTTCTCCCTCCCCTCGAACCTCCAGCAGGGGAGTGCCGGCCCCGTACAGGTTCATTACCTTGACGGCGCTCTCCAGCATGCGCTGGCGCGATATGCGCACTTTCTGGCGCGGGATGCTGGCGAAGGCCACCTCGCCCTCCAGCTGACGCTGCGCCTCCTGACTGTGCGCATTCTGCGCCAGGGCGCGCTGCTGGACGTGGTGCAGCGCCCTGCTCGGCCCCAGGCTGCAGCTGTTGTGCAGGATGAGCCGGGCGCTTCTGAGAGGGAACGTTTGTAAGCGGCGAGCCAGGGGGGGAAGCGAGAAGGGGCGTACCTTCTCAGAAGGCTCGGAAGTCCCCCCGACTTCTGAGAAGTTTTCTAAGCCTTCCCCAGAGACAGAAAAAACTTCTCAGAAGGCGCGAGAGCTTCTGAGAAGTCCCGCCGCCTTCTGAGAAAGCCTTCTCCTTCTCAATTCCCCCCCTCGCTCGCTGCCGAGTTTGGGGTGGGGGGCAAGCATGATCGGAGATCTACTGACCCGGGGCAAACCAGACCCCGGGGCAATCAGGCCTGGCAGGATCCTGCAAGATCCCGGGTCAGTGCGCCCCTGGCGCCGCAGGATCCTGCAAGTCCCGGCGCTCTGAGTGACCGCCGTTTGCATTGACCGCCGTCTCTTGTTGAGCAGGGACCGACCGTCCTGGCATCTCTAAAAGCCTACTACGACATGTTCTTAGAACCCTAAAAATGTGACCAAGACCAAAACAATGTTCTTATAACATAAGCCCAATGTGTCAAAACAAGACGATATCGGCCGGACATGTTCTAAGAACATGTCGCGGAAACCACACACAAGGTTCTCATAACATTGCTTGGGAGGCCTATAGGCGAGCCAGGACGCTCCGCCACTGCCTGACCTTGAGCCCCGACAAAAGGAGGGGGATACCGCCACGGCATCGGCGGCACGTCGACGATAGACCACTGGCGCTGGGGCCGCCAAGCCCCGTGCGAGGCGGGGCCGCCTGCCCCGTAAGGAGCAAGGCATGGCCGCTGCTTGTCGTCGTGCTTCCCACCCTCGCCACCCTGTTGGGCTTCTCGCCAGCGCCTTGTCCTGGCTGGGGTCTCGGATGCGCATCCGGAAGACTCCAGCCAGGCAGCGCTCATTACTGGCCCCTTGTTGGCGCCAGGGGCGCCGGCTTTTCTCGGGCTGGGCGAAAGGGGGGGATAGCAAAGGGGGGGTTGAGAATCGGCTCACGTAGCTGATTTTCCCGGCGCCTCCCGGCGCCAGGAGGCGCCCATGTATCGAGGAATGGGCCCTGCGGCGGGGCCGAAACCAGCTGCATGCAGCAGATTTCGTAACCCCCCCTTTCCCTATCCCCCCCTTTCGTCGGGCCCGATTCTCTCCGGCGAGGGCGAGGACGACGCAATCCTTTCCCCAGGCGCTCTTGGAGTCAGCTCGCTTGGTGCCCCCTCCCCCCCCTCTCCCATCGGCGACGAGTGGGCGCTCGGGGGGCCGATGCGCCCCCCTCGGCGCGCCTGCGGCCTGCCTTTGCCAGAGCGCCCCTATGAGGGGGTATCGATCGGGGGAGGAGGAGGAGGAGGAGGAGGAGGAGGAGGAGGAGGAGGAGGAGGAGGAGGCGGAGGAGGAGGAGGGCGACTGGTTCAGGGGGGGAGCATCGACCGGGAATCGGCGATACGTCGCCGGATAGGATCGGCAATAGGGCCCAGTGGCGGATCCGCACGTTCCTGGGCGGGGTACGCTGGCAAGCCCCTATCGCCGAAGAGTGGGCGATTTGGGGTCGCTGCGCCCCCCCCGAGCCTATCCCCCCGGTGATCCTGGTCGTCCGGCTTCGCGTCATAGCTCGGTCTCCGGCGGCCGTTCGGGACAGTCCAACGCACCCCTGGAGCGCCCTCGGCAAGGCGCAGCCGCTGGTGAGCGCCCTGGCGCTGGAAAACCGCCCAGAACCGACGAAGACGGCCGAACACCTCGAACATCCATGACACCGAAGCCGATGCCGATACCGCTGCTCCCCGCACCTCTCCCGGAGCACCTCCCCTACCGTTGCCCCTGAGCTCCTCGGGAACAGGAAGGGGCACGTGGCGGCCAGCTTGGAGCACCAGGGCGCGACGGACCCCGTGCACACCGCGAGGGGGTCCGACAGCTGCCGCAGCAGCGCCGACGTCAGGGCGTTGCAGTGGAAGGAGCCGTCCTCCAGCGCCTCTGGAGGGAAAAAACGACAAACCCTGGCGGCGAGCCCAGGGGGGGAAGTGAGAGGGGGCAGGCCTCCGCAGGAGGCGGCGGGGCCTCCCTGAAGTCTTCTGGGCCTCCTCCGGAGACGCCGGGAACTGCTCCTGCAGGCGCGAGGGCTCCCAAGAAGCCCCGCCGCCTCCTGAGAAGGCCTGCCTCGCGCCCCCCCCCCGGGGCTCGCCGCCGACAGCCGCACAGGGGCACAGACGTCAGCCTTTCGGCGCTCCGATCGCGACTCCTCGGGTCGGCGCTGGGGCCCCGCGCCCCTCGCCGCGCGGAGCTGGGGCAAGGGGGGGGGTCCTCCAGGGCCGACCCCGCAAATCCCGCGCGGGCCCCCGAAGGCCCACATGTGTGTGCCGCTCTGTGCCTCTGGCCCCCCCCCCCTGGAAGCCTAAGACGAAACCAAGAAGACATCGAGAATCCCTGAGCTCTGGCGGTTCTGGAGGATGCCTCGGGCGCCGCGGCCAGCTCAAACAGAATAACGAGAAGGCACGACCGGAGCCTCACAGAGGCCTAAAGGGGCTTCCAAACGGGCCCCGAGACGCTTCAAAACTGCGTACAACAGGCTCCGCCAGGCCCCCAAACAGCTTCCAAGACGCCCACAAGAGTCCCGAAATACTGCTCAAGAAGCCCACGATGCCTCAACTGTGGACGCACCGCCTCTTCTGGGGGTCAGCGGAATGGTGCAAGCCTCCTAAATTAAATAGCGAGCAGGCACGACTGGAGCCCTACAGGCCACATCTTTCTACTGTATCTGTCAAGCCGGATCGATCTGAAATGGCCCTGGTGCCTAAAGAGTTGGGCGGAAACGCCTGGTGTGAGCAAAAGATGCAACGCCTGAGTCTCAGGCTCTTTTGTGGCCCCTCCAGACATCCAGCGCTACAATCTGTTCTCGATGCGTGGACCCCTGGAGGTCTGGACAACCTCCGCATGGCCCGTTTCTCATCCTGAGTAGCTGTTGACGGTCCTGGGGCCTGTTGCGGGCTCTGGGAGGCCGAAGTAGCAAAAAGCTTGCCGCTCCAATCTTTTCGGGGCCTCGGATCTTTGGGGCCCCAAAGTTCGGGATGCACCAGAAAGCTGGGGGGACCCTGAAGGGAGAGCATGAGTTCGATCCCCAGGAGGACACATAGGCACACATACAAACAAAAACATCGATGCAATTTTCCGAGCTGCTCAGGTTGATCCGCTGGTGCACCGAGCTACCGCAAGCAGATGCCCCCCCGGCATGCCCCACCTATCGGCAACCATCGGGAGCTGCCAGCGGCTGGGGAGCATCTGCCTGGGGTTATGTCGGGCGTGTCCCCCTGCAGGGGAATTTTCGACGAAAAATAAAAATACACCAAAAGTGCACCAAAAATGTCCAAACATCCAAAAAAAAGTCCCTGGACTATTTTTGGACTATTTGTTGTGACTATTTTGGGGGTATTTCCCTACCTAGGCTCGCCTAGAAGGGTTCTCACTCTCTGGGCTTAAAGCGGCCGGGCAGTGGGGCTCGCCCCGGGCGGTTCGCCCGGTATCCGCCCCGCGGTCCCCCCAGTTACGTCCCCTTAGCTTAGCGTTGCGTATCTCATCTTAGCTTAGCTTATTTCATCTTAGCTTAGCTTAGCTTCATCTTAGTGAAGGTTTATCTTAGCTTAGCTTACCTTCATCTTAGCTTCGCCGAGCTTTAGCATAGCAGAGCACAGCATATCATGACATAGCGTAGCATAGCGCAGCACAGCATATCATGACATAGCCCAGCATAGCATAACTTAGCGGAGTACAGCATAGCATAGCATAGCATAGCGCAGCGCAGCACAGCATAGCACAGCGCAGCATAGCATAGCAAAGCATAGCAAAGCATAGCATAGCAGCAAAGCAAAGGCAAAGCAACAGCAGCGACAGCAAAGCAAAGCACAAGGAACGCAAAGTAAAGCAAAGCAAAAGCAACAGCAAAGCAAAGGAAAGGCAAAGCTAAAGCAATGTGCGACAGATGCCGAGCTAGCCTCGATGGCCGGACCTAGCACGGGTGTAATTCCCTACCTAGGCTCTGCCTAGAGGGTTAGCTTAGCTTGGCTTAGCATAGTTTAGCATAGCGCAGCGCTGCATTAGCATAGCATAACATAGCCAAGCATAGCATAGCATAGCATAGCATAGCATCGCGCATCATATCATATCATAGCAAATCATAGCATGTCATATCATAGCACAGCATAGCGCAGCTCAACATGACATATCATAGCATAGCATAGCATAGCTTAACATAGCGCAGCGCATCCTGCCATATCATAGCTTAGCATATCATAGCATAGCATAGCGCAGCACAGCATATCATAGCATAGCATAGCATAGCGCAGCATAGCATGGCGTAGCATAGCATTGCATAGCATAGCAACTAATGCTGCTTTCCTAGGGGCTCCAACTTCTAGGTAGGGTCGCACTGGGGTAATTTTTATTTTTCGTCGAAAATCCCCCTGTAAGGGGACAGTCCCGACATAAGCCTGGGGCGGTGCGGTGCCAAAAGCCGATCGAGCTCACGCTCACGCCCCCGGTCGGGCACACGCTTCCCCCCTTGCGGGGATGCCGACGCATGGCCTCGGCCCCCAGGTGCTCGCACGCGTGGCGCAGGGCGGAGGCCAGCTGCAGCAGGGCCACCAGCTGCCCGCCCCCCTCAGGAGGCCTCCCGGATGGTCCGAGTGGGCGGAGTCCGGGGATTGCACCGCATCGCCGATGCATCGGCATTGCATCGGCGACGTCGGCTTGGAGACAATCGGGCCCCACATCGAGCCGCATCGCCGATGCATCGCCGATGCATCGCCGATGCATCGCTGATGCATCGCTGATGCAGCGCTTTCCTCCGACCCCATCGACTCCGACCCCATTTGGGAGGCCTACCCCTCCTCGCCGCCCCCCGCCGCCAGCAGCGAGGGGATCGCCGCAGCGGCGCGGGCGTGGCGCCGGACCAGCGCGTCCAGCTCCGCGGGCACGAACGCGGGCCCCTTCTGGGGACCCAGACCCCCTCGGTTCATGAAAAAGTCATGACGGAGATGTTTTGCAATTTTCAGCCTCTGGGGGCCCTCGCCAAGCCCCAGGACAGTAACAAAACAACGCAGGATGAAAAGCTGTCCCAGGGAAAGGGTTCAGACCTCTGGGGGTCGACGTCATGAAAAATCATGACTTCGGCGGTATAAGGACGAGGGGCAACCATCGAGGCGGGACTGGTTCGGGGGGGCGGGGGGCGAAATCGAGCTGGAATCGGCGATCGCAGATAGATCGGCGATAGGCCCCCGATACCGAATCCGCACGCTTCTGGGCGGAGTGAGGCTATCAGGCCCCCATCGGCGATGAATGGGAGATTGGGGGGTCGGTCGGTGCATCCCCCCCTGGGCCTATCCTCCCCTGCCGTTGCCCCCGAGGGGGACCATGAAGATTTACCGATGCCGCCCTGGGCATGTGAGCGTTCTCTTATTCGGCGTTGCGATATTGGGCGGAAGGGGGGGAGGGGGGGGTCTGGCTCTGGACCTCTGCTCGAGGCCACTGTTTGCAACCTGGGGGAGGGACCCCGCCTGCTCGACACAGGCGCCCAAAACCAGCCAAGACCTGCTCCATTGGGGGGGGGGGGGGGGGCGGGAGGGGGTGTGCGAGGGCCCGCGCCGATCGGCAAGCAGTGAATCCGACAACGACGGCCGCAGAGAAGCACGGCGGGAAATGTCCGGCCGACCTCGGCCTCCGGGGGCCTCGCCGGGCCCCCGGAGGCCGTCCACCCAAGCTGCACGGCGGGAGGGGCGCGAGGAGCCGATCCCGCGGAAGGGGTCCCAGACCTCGGGACGTCCACGCGGTGGCAGAGTCGCGAGGTCCAGTGGCGTTCCTCCTCCTCCTCCTCCTCTCCTCCTCCTCCTCTCCCTCCTCACCCTCCTCCTCCTCCTCCTCCTCTCCTCCTCCTCTCTCCTCCTCCTCCTCCTCCTCCTCCTCCTCCTCCTCCTCCTCCTCCTCCCCCTCCTCCCCCTCCTCCTGCCTCTCCCCCTCCCTCTCCCCCTCCTCCTCCCCCTCCTCCATGCGAGAACGGGAGATGCTCCAGTGGCGGCCAGGGGGCCGCCGCGTGGCACCACTGCCCTCCGAGGTGCGCAGTACAGCGCTGACGGGAGGGAGGAGCAGAGAGAGAGGGCGAGAGAGGGAGACAGAGAGGGCGGGGGGGGAGGGAAGGAGGGAGGAACGGCGAGAGAGGCGGCGACCGACAACGCCAACCAACAGTCTGGAAGAACGCCCCGCATGCCGCCGTCGTGGTGGCGCCTTTTTGCATGTTCTGGGAAACAAGACACAACAGGGGAAAAAACATAACCCACTTGGCCGATTTGTTTTGTTGCCTCCCACCTCCACAGCCTCTAGAAGAAGCCTCAGGGCCTCTCGAGAGAATCTCGCGGTTTCCGGAGGTGTCTCTGCGCATCCTCGGCACGTCCCACGATCTGGAAAGACGCCCTTCGCCATGGTGGCGCCGTTTTTTTGGTTTGTTTTTCTATAAAAAAGGAGGGGGGCAACAGAAACAACAACGAGACTGCCAGACCCCGCTTTGGCCGATTTGTTTGTTGTTGGTGCCCCCCCCCCAGAAAGGTCTCTGGAAGAAGCCGCAGGGCCTCTCGAGACGACCCCGCGGCTTCTGTGGATGCCTCTGCGCCTCCGCGGTACGTCTGCAAAGCCCTGGGGCGGGCCCCGGAGCCTCCCGCAGAGGCGCCGGAGCTGGTTGGGGAGACCCTCCTTCTGGGAAAGTGTCTCAGAGTATCCTCCTCCTCCTCCCTCCTCCCCCTCCCCCCTCCCCCTCCCCCCCCCCCTCCTCCTCCTCCTCCTCCTCCTCCTCCTCCTCCTCCTCCTCCTCCTCCTCCTCCTCCTCTCCTCCTCCCTCCTCCTCCTCCTCCTCCTCCTCCTCCTCCTCCTCCTCCTCCTCCTCCTCCTCCTCCTCCTCCTCCTCCTCCTCCTCCTCCCCCTCTGCCTCATTCCCCATCCATCCCCCCTTCCCCCTCCACCCCTTCCGCCTCGGCCTCTTGGGAGCGGACCTATTGGAAGCCTGTTGGTGGCTGACCAAGAGGTCCCCAGGACGGCCCGAGAGGGCCTCAAGACGACACCGAGAGAGGCCTAAGAAAGCACCACGAGCTTCCCAAGAGAGCCCCTAGAAACCGCCAAGAGAGCCCCAACAGGCCGCCAAGAGAAGGCCCTCTTCGGCCGTCTTGACGGTACCGGGATAAAGCCGTCTCTCCCCGCTTTCGCCGTTGGGAGCCTTGGCGTGATGAGCTTTCTGCGTTACTGATCACTCTTTATTTGCCCTGGGTCTTCTGGGCCGTCCTCTTGGGGCCTATTAGGGGTTCTTTTGGACTGTCTTGGGGCCCTCTTGAACCGTCTTGGGACCATTTGGGACGTCCAATTTTCTCGAATGCTGAGGGCTTAACCGATAACTCTCAGAAGGACTCGCATGCTTCCCCGATTGCGGAAAAACGCCTGACGGGGAGCTGACCAGGTCTTCCAAATTGTGGTGAGAGTTTCACCGATAACTCTGAGAAGGTCTCCCGTGCTTCCCCGATTGTGGGAAAACGCCTCACGGGCTGGCAGGCCCCTTAGGGGCGGCGCGGGCGGGCTGGAGCCCAGCCCCTTGCATCTCAAAGTAAGACAACCATAAGGTAAGCTGCGCTGAATGCTATCATAAGGTATTGCATCCTATACGAAGGTTATAGACGAAAGGTAAGCTGCATTGAATGCCGCGCTGCAGTGACCAGACATTGCAAGACGAGAGAAAACGACTAATGATGCTTGACGATTTCGCGCTGCTATCACAAGGAATACAGGGGGTCGGCGGATGTGGCGAAAACCTGTATAATAAAGAATACCCCAAACATACTCCAAAGATGCCCAAAAGTACAAAAAAATAGTCCCAAGACTATTTTTGATCATTTTTGAATATCCCCCCTGTAGATGGACAGGCACGACTTAGACATACAGTCGAGGTGCTACCAGAAGGAACGCCACATAAGGAACAAACGGGCCTTTCTGGCAACGGTGGGCCCAGGCCACAAGCAAAGCCCGCGACGGAAATCTAGGAAGCGACCCAAATCCCCGAGCCCCTTCCGAACCCAAAGCGGTCCTGATTTCAGCGTCTTGGCTGTACGGAAGATTTCTCAAGGTCTTTGACCAAGCCTCACAGCCACGAGAGGACGAGGTGGAGCCTGACGGGCAAGCCTGTGGAAGAAAGCCCGTGCGATGCCCTGAATGTTTTGGGGGCCCCCACATGCTAACGAGATTGGTCCCATGGGCCTTGGGCGAGGCACTGCTTGGCATTGGCTGGTCATGCTCTGAATTGCTTGGCATCGGGTGGTCCTGCGTGGCGCTATTTGGCATTGGTTGGTTGTGCTTGGCACTGCTTGGTTGTGACTGGCATTGATTGGTCGTGTTCGGCTTTGCCCAGCACCGGTTGCTCGTGCTCGGCATTGCTCGGCATTGCGCGATTGTGCTGGCATTGCTTTGCATTTGGCATTGCTCGGTCGCGCTTGGCATTGAATCGTTGTGCATGTCATTGCTTGGCATTGCCTGGTCGCGTGCGGCATTGAGCGGTCGTGCTTGGCATCGCCTGGCAGTGGTTGGTCATGCTTTGCATTGCTTGGTGGTACTTGGCCTTGGTTGTGCTTGGCATTACTCGGCATTGGTTGGTCGTGTTTGGCGGTCCTTGGCATTGAGTGGTTCTGCTCTTGCAATTGCCTGGCGTCGGTTGATAATGCTTGGCGTTGAATGGTCGTGCTAAGCACAGGTTGGTCGTGCTTGGCTTTGCTTGGAAGTGAGTGGTCGTGCTTGGCAACGTTTGGCATTCGTCGTGCTTGGGTCGGTCGTGCTTGGCATTGCTTGGCGTTGCTTGTTTTCGTTTGTCATTGATTGGCATTGGCTGGTCGTGCTTGGCATTGGCTGGTCGTGCATGGTATTGAGTAGTCGCGTATGGCATTCAGTAGTCGTGGCTGGCATTGTGGATGCTTGTGCTGAATATTTCTTTTCGTTGAATGCTCGTGCTAGCCATTGCTGGGCCTTGGATGGTCGTGCCTGGCATTGGCTGCTCGTGCTTGGCATTAGGACATCATTTTTCGCGGGTTGACTTGTTGTTGCGGCTGTTTGGTGAGCGTGTTTGGTTACAAGAAAAAAGGATGGTCACTAGAAAAGGTCAGTGGACAGGACTTGGCAGCGGTGAGTAAACAACAACCAGCGAGCACCATGAAGTGGCAGTGGTAAGCGATCAGCGGCCAGCAGCGGGCAGCAACAAACCAGCAGCTAGCAGCAGTAGTCAATCAGCGCGCAGGCAATCAGGCTTTTCGTGCTGCTCACTTATTGTTTACAGTTTGCTCAGTAACTGCTCACAGGTGCCACATGCAACTCATGCCTGGTCAGTGGTGTCCGTGGATTGCCCACTGATCGATGACTGCTTGCCCGCTGCTTGCCCTGAAATTCCTCCTTGTCGATCACTGATTTCACGGCTGCTCACTGCTCGCCACTGCTTGTTACTGCTCGCCCACTGCTCGCCAAGAGAGCTTGCCCACTGATGTTCACAGCATGGCATGTCTTTCTGCGGTGGACGTGGATTACTGCATGGGGGCTGGTCAGTAAGAAGCAACATGCAACAACGACCAGCCGTGCGCACCATGGGCGGCAATGACGGAACGTGCACAGGAGTGAGCTTGTGCCACGCGATCAGCCAGCACGCAATGGTCCAGCAATGTACTGCAGCGGCCAGAACTGAACCGCCAATGGGCATCAGCCAGCAACAATGAGTTATCGTTGATCCACCGGGCATCACTGACTGTCAGCGAGCAGTCAGTGGGTTCCAATGCGCAGTGCTGAGCATCAATGCCCAAGCACAGATGTGCAGCGAGCGAGAGGCGATCGGCTGTGACCAAGTAGTGAACAACCAGTGGGCCGACAACGAGCAATAATGCTAACAATGAGAACGACTCAGCAGCAGTGACCACACGTGAGCAACGCTGACCAGCACTGCATGGAACTAGCACTGGCCAGCGGTGGGTATGCTGCAAGCAGCAGAAACCAGCATAAAGAAACATGACACATCAACAGAAACGCAACAAAAACACTGGAGTGGGCCCCAACACAGAGCAAGCACCTCGCAGCACTGAACACCAGTGACCACAAGCGATCAACACTCATTAGTACTGAGCAGAGGGGGGCAAACACTGCGCAGCACTGGGCAACCGTGGGCACCTCAGGGCACAAGTGAGCAACACTGAGCTTCACTGAGCAACAGTAAGTAAGCAGTGCGAAGTAGTGATCAAGTCTGAGCACCAGCAGCAGCAATGCTCAGCAGTCGGTCATGTGACAGGGGGCGTCGGCACGAGCCTCGACAAAAAGGTACGATAATGGCTCTAAGCTTGCCTGGCATGAGCCCCGCAGGGTTCTGAGCGCAGAGAAGCTGAGAGTACAAGACCCGACATATTCTGATCACGACGATGACGGCAACGACGCCAACGACGATGGTGACTCTAAGCTTGCCTAGCAGGAGCCCCGCAGGGTTCTGCGCGAAAAGCAGCTGAGAGCACAAGCCGACGACGAGGACGATGACGATGACGACTCTAAGCTTGCCTGTCACGAGCCCCGAGGGGTTCTGCGCCCAGGGGAGCTGAGATTACGAGCCCCGATGGGGGGGAGGAGGAGGAGGAGGAGGAGGAGGAGGAGGAGGAGGAGGAGCCCCTTTCGACCCCTTTCGTGCCGCCAGCGTCGTGGCGGCCGCCGCGCGGGCGCGCGCGGCGGCGTGGCGGCGCCCGCCTACTCCTCGTCCTCCTCGGGTGGCCCCGCAGCTGCGCGGGGCGGCGGGGCAGCCGCAGCACGAACTTCACGGCCTGAACCACACCCTGGATCAGCGCGGGGTACATGCCCCGCAAGACCTGCAGGCAGTCCAGCAGCCGCTTCGTCGCGTGCCTCGCACCGCGCCGCCGCCTGGCCACCGCCGCCTGACGTCTGGCCTCTCTCGCCTCCGCCTCGCGTAGCCGTCTGTCGCGTGGCTCGCGCTGGTCGCCTCTCTCGCTGCGCGCCGCCCTCCAGCAGGCGCCTCAGTTCTGCGAGAGGCAGAGGGGCCTCTCGCGTGGCTCTCCTCAGCTGAGGCCTCTCTCCTCGCTGCCCAGCTGCCTTCTCCCTCTCGGCCTCCAGCAAGGCCCTCGCTCTCGCTGCCTCTGCCTCAGCGTCGTCGAGGTCCTCCGCTTGCGTGGCGCTCTGCACGGCGTCGTGCTCGGGCTGCCAGCTGGTGATGGCCCGTCTCGCTGCGGTCTGTAGAAGTCGCTGTGCCTCCTGCTGCTGCTCCTCTTCGGTGCGGGTCCTCCGCACCTGCTCGTCCGAACGTGGCGACGCTGAACCCACGGGCGGCTCGAGGAGCACCGCCGCGGGATTTGCGTTCAGACACCCCGTCGCGACCTGGCCGTGGTCATGATCGAGCCGTGTCGTCGATGGGCCAGCTGACGGCTCGAGGAGCACCGCCGCTGGATTTGCGTTCTGACACTGTGCGTAGTCCTGGCCTTGGTTCGGGCTGCAGTGGCGACGTGGACCAGCGGTCGGCTCGAGGAGCACCGACTTGGATTTAGCGTTCTGACACCACAGCTCGCCGTCCGCGCAGATCTCGACTGGTGGCTGCGTCCCTGGCGGCGATGGACCAGCTGACGGCTCGAGGAGCACCGCCGCTGGATTTGCGTTCTGACACCTCAGCCCGCCGTCTGCGTAATTCTCATGCGGCGCTGCCCGCTGTCCTGATCCGCCCTCCTTGGCGGCCTGCCTCAGCCAGCCCTCAAGCCTGTAGTGGCCACTGCTGCAGACTGTGTGACCGCAGCAGGGCTCCTGCAGCTTAGTGGCGATCAGCTCCGTCGTCGCTCCTCCGCATCGCTCGCAGAACCAGCGGTCTTGGTCGAGCAACCTCCTCAGCTTGTGCGTCGGGTGCGACTCCACTCCGTACCTCGTGATGGTGATGGCTCTCAGCGGAGGTGGCCCCCCGCGCGGCTTCTCCATCCAGGCGCGGATGGTCGCGGTCGCCGTGCTGCAGCTGACCGCCTCCCTGCATTGCTGACACCTCCATCCTGTGCCACGCTTGTCGCGCTCTAGGATGTGCGACGTCGGTGGTCTCCTGGTCGCCTCGCCGCCGAGCAGGTCGCGCTTCAGGAGGCGGTCCTGGCGCCTCTGCTGCGCGAGCCTCTTCCTTGCCGCTCTCATTTCCTTGTCGTCGGGCGGCCTCCTGGCGAGCACTGCAGCGGTGGTGGCCGCGATGCGCTCTCTCACCAAGTGGGCCGTGGCGCGCACCCACTCGTAGCAGCTCATCTCCGTGTCGCTGATCGCGTGCGTCGCTGCTCCTGCCTCTGCGTACTCGTCTGCTGCCTTGTTGCCCGCCCAGACTCGCCTCGGCACGCCCTTCGCCATCGCCTCGTGCTCCGTCATGTGGCTGTTCAGGTGCTTCATGGTGATGTCGCTCCTGTCTCCTCCTCTCTCGCGAATCGCCTCGCCGACCTGGAACCACAGGTCGCCGTTGCTGTGACCTTGGCCCTGGGTCCTCTCCCTTTGCGCAGCCCAGCCCGTGCACGTGACCTCGCTGTCCGTCCAGAAGGTGACCCTGCCCTCGGTCGCGCGCAGGAAGCTCAGGAAGCTGTAGAGCTCGGCGCGGTTGTTGGACTGCCGAGCTCCTGGGAGAGGCCCAAAGCGCGCGCCGATCTGCTCGTACTCGTCGCCGTCGCCCAGCAGCACCCAGCCCCAGCCGCACCTGCAGTATCGCTCGTCTGCGCTGTACTCGCCTCCTGAGCCGTCCCCGCATGCCGTGAGCTCCCGTCCCTCGTCAGCGCGGAGGCGGCGCTCGGAGTTGCAGGCGCCGACGAGGTGCTCTGCAGGCAGGGTGTCGCATCTCGGCGGCACGGTCCAGCTCTTGGGGGTGATGCCCCTAAGCCAGAACGCTGGGTTGGTCTCGCAACCCTCGAGCGCCCTCCTGGTAAGGCCGCTGCTGCGCCTCACTGCCTCGCTGTCCTCCCTGGCTGCGCAGGCGCCCCAGATGCGGTGCACGTCATCCTCGGGCTCTCCGCACTCGCATCGTGCCTCGTCGCCGCCGAAGGTGTCGTGCTTGCGGCGCTGAGTCCAGGTGCCTGCACATGCCGCGGTTAGGAGCGCGCCGTAGGAGCCATAGCGCTCCTTCTTGGCCAGCATCCTGAGGTGGTGCTTCAGGTCCTTGACGTCCGCTCCTCTCTCCAGGCCTGCGCCGTTGTGGTGCTGCGCGGCCTGCTCCCACAGCTGATCCTGTAGGTCGTCGAGGAACGCCTCGACAATCTCAGTGTAGTCGCCTCCCTGCTCCTCCGTGCCGAACTTCCAGTAGTCGCCGTTCCTGTCGATCCAGGTGTCGGGCCCCCTGGAGTCCCAGCCGACTTCCCAGAGCAGGAGTATCATGCTGGCCAGCGGGCCACGGCGAGCTTGCCACCTCTTGTTGGCTTCCAGCCTCTGCATGCTGAAGTAGATCCTCGGCCAGGCGCGCCTTACCTGGTTGCGGATCTCAGGGTGGCGGGCCCAGACCTCGAACCACGTCTTCAGCTGCGCCCTCACCGCGGTGGCTGCGGGGTCCGTGCCCTCCAGCTCCAGGAAGGTGGTGAGGCACCGTCCTGGCCACGGCCTCCTCAATGCCTGAGCGTACCTCCTCCTCGCCTTCTGCCTCGCCCATGGCGCCATGCCGTGCACGGTGGCGCCGTACATGTAGGACGCCACGGGTCCTTGGTGTAGAACTCCTCTCCTCTTGGCCAGCGCCAGCTTTCTCAGCTTGGTGCCGACCGCTCCGCATCTCCTGAAAGCGCCGCTGGTGCGCTTCCTGTGGGTTGCGCGCCACAGCGTGCCTCTGGCTCCTCTGTCGATGCCCAGGTCCCTGCCCTCGGTGACTGCCTGAACCTGGAGCCCCCTCTGGCGCAGCGCCTTCTGCACCGCGCGCGTCGTCCTGTAGCTGGTTGCGAAGATCACCGTCTTGTCAGCCAGCGTAAGTCCCTGAGCCTCTAGCTCGTCCCTCAGCGCCAAGGTGGTGTCCGTCAGCTCCTGCTCGACTGCCTTCGCGCTGCCTACGATGCGCACGCTGATGTCATCGAACCAGGCCCTCGGCATGGGGCTTGGGCAGCGCGCGCGACCTCTCGAGCATGTTGGCCAGGATGACGTACACGACAGTCTTGGCTAAGCTGTTGCTGTGCCTCGAACCTGCGAGCAGCGAGCGGTCGGCCCACAGTGGCAGGGAGTAGGCGCCCTTCCAGCGTATGATCCTCGTCGCCGAGTGCTGCAGGAGCATCATCGCCAGCGGGCGCGGCCTGAAGTGCATGCGCAAGCCGGCCTCGATGACGCAGTCGAGCTGGAGACTGTCGTAGAACTTCTCGATGTCCGCCAGCAGGTTGCCGTGAAAAACCTCGAGCGCCTCGCAGCACTCGTCCCCGATGACCCTGGTCATCGCCTCTCTCAGGCAGCTGTTGCCTTCCACTGCTGCGTCCCAGCCTCTTTGGTGTGTCCTTGCCCAGCGCCGCACTTCAGGTCTGTGAAGCAGCTCCCAGCACCTGACCATCTGCGGCAGCAGCGCAAGGGCGCGGTCGCCCTTGGCGGGCTTCGGCGAGAGCATCACGATCTCGCATAGCAGCTGCCACGGCCACGCGAGTTGCCGCTCGCACTCGTTGAAGAGCTCCACGATCCTCATGCGGCCCTCGGGTGGGAGCCTCCTGATGTCCGAGCAGGTGAGCACGTCAACGCCCTTGCCTCGGTCAGGCTCACCCCGCAGCGCGCTGTCCAAGTCCTCGAGGGTCCACACGCTCTCGTCTGTGCCTCGTGCGGAGCTCCTGAGGGTCTGCAGGATGGACGCGTGCTGCTCGTGCGGCAGCCTCGTGCATCTCCAGATCCCTTGGAATTCCCGAGCCTTCTCGTCCACGATGGCGGTCGGGCAGTCAGTCACGCCGCCGTCGGTGATCAGCTCCTCCTCTCTCCTGGGCGGCGGCTTGGTGGTGCGGTGGAGCGTGCCAGCGCTCTTCTCCGCTGAGGCCAGCCACAGCCCGAACGCCCTGGAGCTCTCCCTCATGTCCCTCGTGATCGCGTATCTCTTCTCCTCCTCTGCCTGTGCGGCCATGCCCTCGATCACCTCGGTGTTGACCTGGTTCAGGTCCCTCAGCCTCGTGTGCCACAGCTTGCGGCGCAGCTTGGCCGTCTCCGACGCGGACGCGCTGGTCTGCGGCATGCCGTCGTAGGCGAGGTGCCTTCCAGCCGCTGCCAAGTGCTGCTGCTGCGCCTGAGCCTTGTTCCTCTTGCGGAGCCTGGCGAGGAGTGAGAGCGTGCTCTCCGCCCTGCTCCACCAGTCCGCTGTGTGGTTTGCATATCTCGTTCTCCTCTCGTGCCTCTCCTTGCCCTTGCATACGACAAACTGCCTGGGGTCACCTCGCCCGCAAAACTTGGCACGGTCCTGCGGCGCGATGTGGTACGCCATGCAGTAGAACTGCTCCAGGGTGTCCATGACCGCCGAGTAGCTCTTGCCCAGCGCTGTGGCCTCCTCCTCTGTCGCCTCGAAAGCTGCGCTCTGGGTGATGTAGGTGGGGATCTGCTGCTGGGCCTTCGGCTCTGTCGCCATCTCCGCCATGATCCAGAGGTCTCCCATCTCCGTCGTGTCCTGCGCCCGGTGCTGGTCGTGGTCCTGACCCAAGTAGTCCGCACGTGGCGACGCTGAACCCGCGAGCGGCTCGAGGAGCACCGCCGCGGGATTTGCGTTCAGACACCCCGTCGGATCCTGGCCGCGTACTTGAGCGGGTCGTGGCGACGTTGAACCAGCTGGCGGCTCGAGGAGCACCGCCGCTGGATTTGCGATCTGACACTGAGCGTGGCTCTGGCTTTGGGTCGAGCCGCAGTGGCGACGTGAACCAGAGGTCGGCTCGAGGAGCACCGACTTGGATTTCGCGTTCTGACACCTCAGCTCGCCGTCCGCGTAGATCTCAACTGGTGGCTGCGACCATGGCGACGATGAACCAGCTGACGGCTCGAGGAGCACCGCCGCTGGATTTGCGTTCTGACGCCTCGCCTCGCCGTCCGCGTAGGTCTCGTCTGGTGGCTGCGACCATGGCGAGTCAACGCTGTCATCCTCCGTGTGCTCAAGCTCGGCGAAGACGTCAATCTCCTCTTGGTCCATCTGGTGACCGTGCTGCTCGGTGTCGTCGGCGCACGGGAAGTGTGTCCAGCCCGCGACGGGTGAGAGCGCCTCCCACCTGGCGTCATCGAGCTGCTCCTCACTCTGCCTGCTCCTCCCAGGTGCGTCCTCAGGTGCGCCTCCTGGCGCAGTGGTCTGGGGCGGTGGCCGCGGCGCGGCGCCAGCTGCTGCCTCAGCCTGCGCGCGTGCCTGCAGCCTCCTCCTCGTCCTCTTGCTGGTGGGGCTGGGGCCCTTGCCTCGCCTCGGCGGGTGCGCGAAGGCCTTGGGGAGGCCTAGCGTCCTGCACTGCGTGGGGACCCCTTGTCCTCGAATGGTGAACTTCAGGCCGATGTGCGGCTTCCACGGGACGTCGAAGACGCCCTCCACGCCTGAGACTAGCCTGCTGCCCGCCTCGTTAACCAGCGCGAAGTCGATGTGCGACGGCTCCTGCCCCGCGAGGAAGCAGGTGTGCTGGTCCTCTGGGAGCGAGAGGACTGCGGCCGCGCCCATCACCTCTGGCCACCCCGTGTTCCAAAAGGTCGAGGGGTCGGAGTTGAAGCCGCCGCACACAATCCACGCTCCCTGTATGGTTCGGAGGAACGCCGCGAGCGCGGTGAGCTTGCGGCTGTTGATGCCCTCGACCAGTGATCTGTTGCAATCCAAGTATAGGCTGACAACCGTGAGCGTGGTGCCCTTCAGATGCCACTGAGTGGGTGTCCAGTCACACATATCCCAGCCACGTTCTCGGCCAACGTCTCGTCGAATGTCAGCTGTGGCATTCGAGACCTGCCGAGCCTGGGCCAGGTGTCTGAAACTGGTGACTCGGAGGTGGCCCTTGGAGATCACCGCTGTGCCTCCTTGCGTGCCTGCCGCCGAGCGTGAACTGTCTCTTGCCGCCGTGAATGTGGCCTTGTACCCCATCTTCACAAGGTCATTCTCCACGTCGTCTAACTGCGCATGTGGTACATGCGACTCCTGAAGCGCTATCATGTCATAGCCTCTCCCCTCGATGCCCTGTCGCATCAGCCACAGCCTGGCTGTGGGCACCCAAGTGCTGGTGTTGGCGCAGAACAGCGTGCGCTCCTGGGCGGCGGCGTCGCCAACGAACCTCCGCCGTCGCCCTCGCGCGGGCTCCTAGCCGCGAGGCGCTGGCGGACCCTGGCCGCCTTCGCCCTGCGCTGGAGCTCCTGCTGCTGCCTCCGCGCGCTTGCGCTCGAGGTACGCGGCCGCCTCGTCCTGGGCGGGGGCCTGCTCAGCGGGGCGTGGCGCCGCCGCTCCTGCGGTGCCTGCGCTGCCCGCTGTGGCCGCCGCTGCGGCGGGGGCTGCTGCTGCGCCACCTTGGGTCTCAGCTCCTGCCGCCGTCAGCTTCCTCTTCTTGGCCTCCTGCGCGATGGTACGCCGCTGCTCCAGCGCCGTCGCCTTCGCCTTCGCGATGTGGTCGCGCAGGTGCCCTTGGAACTGACGAGCGTTGTCCTGCATCTGTTTGATCACTTGCCTCTTTGCCTCCTCCACTTGGCGGTGTCCCTCCTCGTCCAGGTCGTCCTCGCCTAGGTCGAACTCCTTGCCGATGTCCTCTGCCAGCTGGCCCTCGGCCAGCTGGTCGATGTTGCCCGTGACCAGCTGCTCCAGGATGCCCGCCTTCTGGCCCTGCTTGCCCTCCAGGTGGATGGCCTCGCATGCGGCTTCTGCCTGCAAGACCGCCGCCGCGCGCCCCTCCAGGGCCTCACGCGCCCGCTGAGCCGCCTCCTCGGCCTTCTGCTTCGCGGCGAAGGCGTCCTGGTACTGCTGCTGTGCCTGCTGCAATGCCCGCGCCGCCGCCGCCATGCGCACCGCCCTCGGCTTGGGCTGCTCCACTGGCTTGGCGGCCTGCAGGGCTGTCGCGGCTCCCTTCAGCTGCTGTGTGATCTGCTCACCACCTTTCAACTGCATGCTGGAGAGGGTGGTCGTGATGAGCGACAGCGCTTTCGCCAGCTGCTCGGGTCCCTGGCCCATGCCGTGTCCTTTGCTGCTGCTGCTGCTGCCTGCTCCTCTGCGCCCTCCAGTTGCGGCCTCTCCGCGCTCCGCCCCGCCGGCCTTCTCTGCCGTCTCCTGTGGCTTCTTGGGACCTTTGGGCCGCGGAAGCGCCGACTTACACGCGCCACAGCGGAACTGGAGCCCTTCCAGGCGGGAGCTCCACCACCACTCCCCGCAGCTCTTGCAGACCACGTAGTCCTGGCGGCCCATTGCTGGTGGGCTGCTGCCGTGGTGCGTCCTCAGTGCCTCCTGGTAGCGGCGGGCGCGGAGCGCCAGCCGAGCGTCGGCGCGCTCTCTGCGCGCTCGCCTGTGCCAGGCTGGCGAGCGCTCTCGCCTCGTCCTCCTCCTCGCCACCTCGCGCCCCTGCGGCGCTGGGGGCTCCGCTATCGCGCGGGCCTGGCCGCGCGCGCCGCCGCGGGCAAAACGGCTGCGCGGGCGCCTCGCTGCGGAGCCACCTGGAGGAGGAGGAGGAGGAGGAGGAGGAGGAAAAGGAGGAGGAGGAGGAAGAGGAGGAAGAGGAGGAGGACAAGGAGGAAAGGAGGAGGAAGAAGAAAAGGAGAAGGAGTAGGCGGGAAGGGCAGCGCGGAACGCCACCCTCCGAATACCACTCGAATTCTGGATCGCCCGGGGCGCGTTCTGACTAGGATCTCGAAGTGAATCCAGCTGTGGCGACGAGAGGTTCCCCGAGGTCTGGTCGTTGCACTATTTCCTCGACGGGCTTTGTCGCTTGGTTGCGGGCCCCTGGACCATGATACATCGATAGGGCTCCAAACATGCAGCAGAAAGATGGGGCCTAGGGCTCCAATCGTGATTTCAGGCGATGCTTCAACTTGTTTCGCGACGTCGGATCTCATGGCTCCTCGGACCACTCCCAGGGCGCGTTTTGACCAGAATCTCGAGGCAAGTCCAGCTGCGGCGACAAGGGATGGGTTAGTAAGCGACTTCTGGGAGGTCTTCGCAAGAACAAATTAGGGCCGCTAAATCTGGCTACGGGGCCACTATGCTGGATTAGCCCGCATGAAGCCCAGGAGCAAGCTGGACTCGACCACGGATATAGTAGCGCCGATGCTGAATTTCACCTCCCAAGTTTTGCAGCCTGCGGTGCGCAGCATCGATGTGGCCGGTTCCGGAAACCCTGAACCCAAACATGTTGTCATCTCTGAGGGGCGCGGCCTTCCGCCGCCTTTCCTCAGGCTTCCGCCGGCGGAGGCGGCCTCGTTACACTTCCGCCGACCTTGCGCTGCCCTTCCGCCGAGGAAAAGATGACAACTCCTTCGATACTCGAAGGCAAGCCCTTTTTTTGTTGGAACGCCCCATACCTTCTCAGCATTAAGGGGGGGGGGGTCCAGGCCAAACCCCCCAGTACGATCGTTAGCGTTACCCGGGGGGGGGGGGGGGCGTTTGGCCCAGGCAACGAGGGTTGCCTGGGGTGGGGAAGAAAAAAACGTAGGGGACCGCATGCGAACCCTACCCCTACCCCCTACGATTTCTGAGGGGGAGGGTGGGGTTCACTTCGCTCGGGAGCTTCCGAACGGACTGAACCCCACCTCCCCCTCAGAAATCGTGGGAGGTAGGGGTAGGGTTCGCATGTGGCCACCTAAAACGCGCACGTGAGCAGCATCGACATCTCCTCCTCCTCCGACCTCCTGCGCGGGCTCGCCCGGCTCCAGAGGCGAAGCGCCGGCGGGGCAGGGCCCGGCGGGGCTCCCCGGCGGGCTCGCGCAGCTGGCCCCGGGGGCGACGAACTCGTACGTCAGGGAGTGCACGGCGCCCCAGATGGCCAGGGTCCCCAGAACCAGGACACTGCCAGGCAAGGACTCTGACAAGCTTATGTTGCATCCTCGGGGGACCTTGTCTGTCTCTTCCCGGCCCTATCCACAATGAATCTGTGCCGACTACATGCTGGACTCGTCGGGCCCGTGTCGAACCCGTGTCGATCCGTGCCGAATCCGCGTCGAATCCGCGCCAAATCTGCGCCGAGTCCTCATCCAGCCCGCGTCGGGCATAATTAAGAGGAGGCACCAACTTCTGAAGGACCAGCGAGGCCCCCCGAAGATGCGCAACGTGGACAGCCCCACCCGGCGCGAGAGCAAGTCCTGGAGAACGCCTCGACCCATGGCTGCAACTCTTCCCAGGCGCGCCAGTGGCCTGAATTTGCCAGAGCGCCCCTGCGGGGTAGACGATCGAGGAGGAAGAGGAGGAGGAGGAGGAGGAGGAGGAGGAGGAGGAGGCGGAGAAGGAGGAGGAGGAGGAGGCGGAGGCGGAGGAGGCGGAGGCGGCGGAGGAGGAGGCGGCGGAGGAGGAGGAGGAGGAGGAGGGGGACTGGTTCAGGGGGGAGATCATCGACCAGGCATCGGCGATGCATCGCCGAGAGATCGGCGGAGGGGCCCACGATAGCAGCGAATCCGTAGGTTCCTGGGCGGGATCTGCTGTCGGGCCCCTACTTCGGCGATGAGTGGGCGATGGGGGGCCGATGCGCCCCCCCCGGTGAGCCTGTCCCCTCCTCCTCCTCCTCCTCCTCCTCCTCCTCCTCCTCCTCCTCCTCCTCCTCCTCCCCCTCCTCCTCCTACTCCTCCTACTCCTCGTCCCGAGCCGTTTGTTGACTGCCCCGCGGCTCTGCAAGGGCCCCCAGAGGCCGAAAACAGTGAAGAGGCTTCCGCCATGCTCATTGCACGACCCTGAGCTCCGACGCTGCCAGAAATTGCAACCTCGCAAAAATCGCAACCGGAACCCCAGACCCCATCTTTCTGCATCGTTTTTCGACCTGGATCGATCTGTGAGGGTCCCAGGGCCCGAAATTGATCGAAACCGCCCGGCTCGAACAAAAATGGATCCCCAGGATTTCAGGGGAGTCGAGGGGGTCTGGGAACCTCGGGAACGTCTGAGACCGTTTCCCCTGCGTCCCCGTCCGGGGGCCCTGAGGATGGACCCCGAGACGTGCCCCCCGGCCGCGGCGCGGGTGCCGCGCCCGCCAGGGGGTGAGCCCTCGCCCTCCGAGGCGTCCGAGCTGTCCTGCGCCCGGCGGCGACGACGACGGCGACGGCGGCGACGGCGACGGCGGCGACGACGAGGGCAGCGGCGAGGGCGACGGCGAAGACGACGACAGCGGCGACGACGACGACGACGACGGCGGCGGCGGCGACGACGACGACGGCGACGGCGGCGACGACGTCGGCGGCGGCGGCGAGATGATTTTTCTGTCAATCCGGGCGTTTCTCCCATTTGCGTCGTGAACAAACCGCGGCGGCCAGTGTTTTAGGATTTTCAACCTCGTGGGGACCCTCGCCATGCCCCAGGCGGTCAAGCAACGACTCCAAGTGAAAAGCTTATCCAGGGGAATGGGTCGACACCTCTGACGTTGCTGCAAACATCACGGCATTCATGGGTTCCTCGAACGGATCTGGAGCGGAATGCCCCTAGGGAAAGGGTCGGGATCTGTGGGGCCGCGGATTCAAACGGTCAGGTCGGAGGATATCAAGGGGGTTGCTGGCAAGCGCACGCACAACCATACGGCAAGTTCGTGCCATGCTGGCCCCGGCGCCGGTTCCTGATACCGCGTAGATCGCTTAGCCTTGAACGACCGGCGGCCTTTCGATCGCCAGGTAATCCCACCAGCCCTCTGGGCCTAGGTGGTAGAATGAACTTGTGTCGTCTCTCTGCTGAAATCCCTCCTTCCCGTGTTCGGGGGAGGGGTTTATTACTGTTGCTTATTAATATATCCCCCCTCCCCCACCCGGCCGGCGGCCACCCCAGAACCATGCCGACTCCATGCGGGCCCGCCCCGTACCATCCCTGTCAAAAAAAATACAAACCGCATTCTGCCTCCATATTTCGAGCATGCGCGGCCAACCCGATGCGCCCCTTCCCCCCCCCCACCATCCCCGATCAAGAACAATGCAAAGTACACTTTGGGGCAAATTCTTGAGTCATGTTCGTGAGGCCCGCGAGCACTACGTATTGTTTTTGACAGGGACGGCGGGGGGGTCAGCATATTCCCTGCTGTGCGCAGGGCTACCATCCCTGACAAAACACCATACACCATGCACCTCGCGGCTAAATCTGGATCAGCAGGCGAGGAGGGCAGCAGGGGGGCGGGCAGGCGACCAGAGATGACAGCCCGCGCCCGCCGCGCGGCAGGGGAGAGAGGAACCCAGGCGGCTGGCGGGGACTTTCGCGCTCGCGAGCGCAATCAGTAGAGCCGCGCTCATGGAGGCCTGAAGGCAGCGGCCGAAAACAGAAGCAGCGAGCGAACAAGGCTGGTGGGGACACTTTTTTTGTTAGCAGCCGCAGGCGAGAGCGCCAACGGCGAGTAAGGTCCGACTGGGCCGCGCGGGGGCCTCATTACCTAGCGCGGAGCAGAGCAGGACCTACCGCCGGGAAGAACCTCAGCGCCAGGGCAGCAAGAAGAGCTGGGGGCGGGGGCTGCAGACTGCCGGGGCTGCCAGGGGGCTGCAAGCGTGCGACAACCTGAGAGCATGGTCACCAGGTGCGAGTTGAGCTGCAGCGAATTAGCCAACCGCAGTTGGGACGCAGCCGAAATGGCGCGGCGCTCTGCATGGGTGTGACCAGGGAGGTGCCAGTCGGTACACAGGGGAGACAGCCAGGGGTGCCCGACAGGGCCCAAACTGGTACACTTGGTGGCGCCACCAAAGTCGCACACCAAAGCCCCGGAGAGGAGTACTGATCCTGCGAGCGTCCGGCCACAGAAGGCGCCAGACAGGCAGCCAGGGGCACGATGGAGGAACTCGACACCGTCGGCGCCGCTGGTGGGGATACTTTTTTGGTCGCGGGCAGACGCGTGAAGCTGTCGCCGAGAGGGGCTGGTGGGGACACTTTTTTTTTGGTCGGCGGCCACTCGACTACGGTCTGGCGGCAACAGTAATGTCCGGGACGCTGGTGGGGACACTTTTTTGGTTCGCGGCTCCAAGGCGGATGACAGGGAGCAAAGACAGCGTCCGGGGCGCGTGACGATGTAAATT